TAGTTCTTTATTATAAATGCTTTTATTGATCAATTGACCTTAATAATTATGTTTAGATATTTATTAAATTGAAACATAATGTTATAAAATATTTTATTAAAAAATTATACAAAAAATATACCTACAAGAAAAATTCAAAAAGGCATTTCACAACTGTTGAACAAGCATGTGAAAACTAGTTGAAACAGTGTGTAAAAACTAGTTGAAACGCGATAAAACTGCAAATTATGCCCCGATTGACAGGTGGAGGGAAACAAATTGAATACATCTCACGTGTTACAAACACATTAATTTTACATTTCTGTTAGTTAATATATAAATAGTATTTTTATTTATAAGAGAGTGACAGAGTATTTCTATGGGAACTAAGACACACATAGACGTCACAAAAAGCCATTAAACTTAGTATAAGAAGTCTGACCCAAAGAAGCTCGGTTTCATTCATTTTTTATTATTTGATGTGTAGGCATTCATTTTATTATTTTACATTCAAGCAATCAGTTATTATCTGTATCGAATTATATAGTCTGTACCTTTCCTAAAACGCTCTTCCTAAACGACGTCTATCCTACAATACTTCCTATCCCCGAAGGTATCAACATCTCGACGCACAACGTCCTTCCGTCCTACTCCCTACGTCTCGAACGCTGTCATATTCCGCACCATCTGAGTATTTCCTACCTTACATTCATTCCGACGCCCAACGTCCCATCGCTCTACTTCTCGACGCTTGCCGCCCCTAAATATTTTCCTTCGTCACGTCTCGCACCACCTAAATAATTCTACCATACAGTGCTTCTCAAAAGTCTCCCCCCTCTTTTCTTTTGAACGGTGATACTTAGACTGATGAAATTTGGAGGGTGAAAATGAACTATTGTAAGTTTCTCTACTATTGGTAATAGGTGACGTAATATGCATCGGTGACGTCACCAGACAACTGAAACCAATAATATTAAATGGGACCTTATGGCAAGTGACACCTCGTTTCAAAGGTATTTAGAATACCTATTCAGTAATGCTATTTTTTTTTGGATTTACGATGTTTTTGATGGTTAAAATAAATTAACATTAAAATTTGAGTTTCGCTTTCAATTAATACATATTTAAGAACAAATTCTTATAATAATTGTTCAAAATGTGCTCCATCTACTTCCTGACAGTAAAACACCCTATTATTAAATTCTTGTCGGACTCGATTAAATATGTCAGGGGAAATTGCCCTACATTCTTCAACAATTCGTTGTTTTAAAACGTCAATACTCTCAGGAGCTAGCGTAAACTTTAGATTTAAGATATCCCCACAGAAAAAAATCTAGAGGTGTTAGGTCCGGTGACCGAGCTGGCCATTCTATTGGACCGCGTCGTCCAATACATCTACCAGGATATTCCTCATCTAAATAACGTCTTACTGCAAAGTAATAGTGTGCAGGAGCACCATCTTGTTGGAACGTTATTTCCAAGTTACCAAATTCATCTGGATTATCTTCCAGAATTTGAAGAATTAATGCTTCAATTGCGTTTTCTAACATCTCGAGATATACCTCACCGGTTAAATTAGAGTTCAAAAAAAGAGGCCCGACTATGTGGTTTTCCAAAATACCTGCCCAGACATTTACTTTTAATGGGAACGTATGTTTTTCACGAAACATGTGAGGATTTATGTCACTCCAATACCTAACATTTTGAGTATTAACATTTCCATTAAAGAAGAAAGTACTTTCGTCACTAAAACAAATTGTCCTTACATAGTCTGGCTGTTGGAAAATTTTAGTGGACATATTTTCACAGAATTCCAGGGTCGTCATCTGAAAGTTGATGCACCATTTTTAATTTGTATGGGTGAAAATTCTCTTTGGTCAACACCCTGTGTACTGTACTATGACTAACTCCAAAGGTAGACGCTACTTGGGCTGTGGAAGAAGTAGGGTTTACTACAATTTTTGCAACTATATCAATTTGTTTATTAATACCAATATTTGGTCGACCCGATTGTTTGACATCATGAACACTACCTGTTTGTTGAAACTTATGAAAAAGGTCCCTCAAATAAGTCCTCGATATAGGGCGATCGGGATATCTCTCATTAAAAATGCGTTCCGCGCATGAACATTATTTCAACTTTCACCAATAATTAAGATTACTGTTACTTTGTCAGCTAAAGCACGTACTATTTTGTTTATGTAGATACTTAAACAATAATTAAACTAAAAATTCAAGATACTATCGCCGGTAAAAACGTTTATTAAAAAATTTCTGCTTTTTTGACAATTAACCATAGGCGCACTTTTGAATCTTTATTAATTAAAAGCAAAACTCAAATTTTATGTGTTTATTTATTTTAACCATCAAAAATATCGTAAATCCAAAAAAAAATGTATGATTGAATAGGTATTCTAAATACCGTTCAAATGAGGTGTCACTTGCCATAAGGTCCCATTTAATATTATTGGTTTCAGTTGTCTGGTGAAGTCACCGATGCCTATTACGTCACCTATTACCAATAGTAGAGAAGCTTACAATAGTTCATTTTCACCCTCCAAATTTCATCAGTCTAAGTATCACCGTTCAAAAGAAAAGAGAGGGGGAGGGGACTTTTGAGAATCATTGTATATCTGTCCCAATGCAGTACTTTATTAAATACCTTCATCTCCACCACGACGCTGAGCACCTCGACGCCAGGCGACGCTCAATGCTACGACGTACCTAAATCGGCGCCGTCACAACGCTAGATGAAATTAGTACATAATCTAATGTCTGTATTTTTAATGGTGAGTCAAAAGATATATATATATATATATATATATATATATATATATATATATATATATATATATATATATATATATATATATATATATATATATATATATATATATATATATATATAACTTTCTTTGAGATATCACCTGGGCACAGTTTAAAGAATATATTGATATGAAAAATCTTATTTGTTATAGAATTTAAAAAAATTAATGTTATGAAAATCAATTTGTAATATAAAAAAAATTAACTCACCCTTTATTCTCCCAATATAATTTTAAAATCCCAGGGTTCGTGGGTTCACACAAACAAGGATAGCAATTTGGATTTCAGCATATAGAAAAGTCTTACCTACACCTTAATCTAACCAATTTCAATGTTCCATGGGTTCACAATATTGAATTTTGAAACTAAAAAATATAAAAAAAATATTAATTTAACAATTATATTAAATAATATGTTCTTTCTTCTTTCTTCTTTCACTTAAAAATCTCTGTCTATGTGCTATCGTCTCTATCCGTTCTCCGTGTCCAACTGTCCCTAGCCTGCACCTGTCTCTTCCTGTCTGTTTGTATTTACCTGCTCCTACTCCTCTCTATTGTCTCTACTTATGCTTTTTACAAACTACCCTCCTGCCAAATCTGCTCTCACTTCGTTGATTTTTTTTTTTTAATAAAAATTTCTTTACCTTTTACTTTTAAATCTTTTTATTTCAACTTCTAGTATTTTCCCATCATTTCAATCACATCAATATTCCTTTTCTTTTCATACAAATTCCAACTACCTTTTCCTTCAAAATTTCTAATCTCACAACCTTTTTAAAATTTTCTGACAACCCTCAAATTCTCATGACAAATCGATGTCCTGATTTTTTTTTCATTTCAATTTTCAGGACCGACCTTACCCATGAAACATTGATTAAAATTTTTATAAATGTGAAAACCCAAAATATATATAACTTCTAATTTTGAAATAAAATATCATATCAATATATAATATATTCTTTAAACTGTGACCGGGGTTTCGTTTATTTGCTACAAATTATTATCAATGTAACCAATAAACCACATGGCCTTCAGATCATACAAAGACAGTTAGGATAGACATCTGTTTCGATGAGTGAAAATTTGAGTATTTCAATAGAAGTTATAAAAATCAATATTAAGAGATATATAGGGTTGTATTAAGTTATTTCAAGAAAAATTATAATATTCAATATAAAAAAATATACGGTTGTAAAAATTAATTCAACAGAAATTATAAAAATCAATATTTTAGAAATATACAGGGATGTATATTTGAATAAATTGTACAAACCAAGATGGTAAAGTTTAATAGACTTATATGCTAAGCCACGCATCCTACAAGGTTTAACAAAGTATATGTGAAATCAAAATAGTAAGGTAACCAACTGGTGAATTGGCGCTGTTCGTTACTTCCGTAGGTCATCACCTCTATACTCGTCGAAATATTTACCTAAGAGGGTGCAACCTGTGTATATCTAGAATAAAATCAAATCAACATCAACACAGTAGTTAACCAACTGGCGAATTGGCGCTGTTCGTTAACTCCGTTGGTCATCAACCTAAATAAATTATATATTGATAGCAAATGAACGTGGTCTGCGTTTGAACAGGACTCAAGTGAAATCTTAGTAAATAGTGCCAATTGTATTATACTTGGCTAATTATTGCATCACATTTAAAGTATGAAAAATAAAAGAGTTTAAATATAAATTTGTCTGGTTTTATTTATCAATTTGCACCAAACTTTTCATCGAATCCTGGTTTACCTTAATTAACATGATCACAACATGGGTATATAAATTATCAATTAATTAACTAGACGATCACTTTTACTGCTAGAGAAAAAAGGCCAACTATAGTAAGTATAGAATTTAAAGTAAAATAAACTTGTGTGGTAAATAATAACAAATCAGAGAGTAAAATAAAAAAATGGGATGCCGTCACAGAGTACAACGTTTTTACATATCTTAGAGTTCTATAAATAGATATAATTGAAAAAAAATGTAATTATTAAAAGTAAAAAGATTCTAAAACCAAAAGTTAATAATAGTAGAATTAATAAAAAATAGTATCGAAGCTAAATTTTCAAAATAAAATGTGATAAGTGTCATGTACTTACTTCCCAACGCCCAATAAGGCGTCATGCCCTTATAAATAAGTAAAGCTCTCAAATATCTATTATAATAAAACTAAACCACAATTGCGTACACCTACCTCTTTCTTCTTCTTTATTATTCTTTACGGTCCTCTTTGTTACTTCACCGTGACGCGACCCATCACTCCAACTAACACCAAAATCAATCAAAAACCCACAAAAAACGATCGAAAATACAAATCGCGGATTCTTCGGAAACATGGCAGCTTTCCCGAAAGATATCTCATGTTACACTACTAGCTTGTACGACATTTTGAAATGAATTACTATTATAGTACGCTGCTTGCTTGAATAGCGAGAAGAGACCGGAAAGGAATTAATCAAGTCGCGGACTGACCGAGAACTTGCAAGTTGCAAGAATCGCGTAGTTCATTTCAATCGGTTCGTGTTCCAATTTATTTTTAATTAATCCACTGCTGGCTGGTACGATTTTGTTCATTTTGTTCGGTACGAATAGCTACAGCGTGCTTGTGGTTTTGTAACGGTTTTACTGAAGTTAAAATGCATTATACTGATGTTAAAATGCATTATACTGATGTTAAAATGCATTATACTGATGTTAATTAATTAGATTCCTGTGATTGAGCTCAAAATGGGTGACCTGTTCACGGGCCAAAGTCTATTTTAAAATATATTACGACAAAATGAGATAACCAAAAAAGGTTGTGGGGACATCACATAGAAATAGTATAGAAAGCCGATTCCATATATCAAAAATGAAACCATAAGGAGAAAATAGTGTGTCGGAGCTCATGCGTATAACGGTGCTGGCGCGAACAGGACCGGTGCAAGTTTTTTATTGATCGAACAAATAGTTCGCACGATATTTCAATCATACATTTTTAGAGATGATTCTATACAAAAAACGATTAAAAAAATTTCAAGTTAAGGTAAATATGGTTCTGACAGTCCTTATTAAGAAAGATATGGCATAAAATATGAATTAGTTAATTTTCGGCAATCATTAGTACAGTAGTCATGAGATTTTGCTTGTGATTTTAAAAATACTTTCCAGAAAAACCACGTGCTCCGGTTTTGACTATGTTTATTATTAAACAGCGAAATTATATACAAAAACTTTAATCCACAATCTAAATTAGGTACTATCACAAGAAAATCACTGTTACAATAATTAATTACTTAACCAAAAACTAAAATACTTTTTAGGTACCTACGTAATCAGAAAGGAACTGGACCATTTATCCTAATATTGATTTTCTCTCTCCCTACGGTAAAACTTAAAACAATAACAAATTGCCTATCTACTAGGGTCGGTAACTAAACGTATATACATAATGGGCGGATTTTGTTTATACTTAACATTACACTCGCGCATTTAAATATAACTATGCATATAAATATTTACAAACAAAGATACTTTTCCAAACAGGCAATCATTAGTACTGTAGTCACGAGATTTTGCTTGTGATTTGACATCTTATTTGATAATATCATTTGCTACAACTAAATTTAATCTGTGGAGTGCAAAATAGGGCCCAGGAATATTATGTTCGATATTTTTTTACATTTTGTCAGCCAAGACTATGTGAGTCGTTAGACAGAAAACCTTTCATGTTACCATTTTCAATATAAATTAAAAAATTAAAAAATACTACTACATTTACTTGGTACATATTTTATTTTAATTTTGAACCCTTTTAAAAGGGTCTTTCGGTTCCATAATAAAAATTAGTTGCTGCTTACTAGAAACATTCTATATAGCCTAAACCAATTTATAGTTTGTTTTCGATCAATTTAATACAAAGATTTAAAGTTTTTAGTCGATGATAACATTCCACACCAGCACATTGCAAACCTATTTTATAAATAATAGGAATAAACTTGTAAATCATTAATTTGGTAGTTATCTCACTCATATGATTTTTTTGTTTACATGAATATTTCGATTTCTAAATATATTTTGGCCTTACAATACGAAGCGTTTTGTATCTACCACTTTTTTAATGAACGATGAATGTTGACAGGCGTGTACCTTTTTCGGAACAAGAGGCGTTTTAACGAAGGAAATGATTTTCGAACTATCTAGTTAATTTTCGGAAAAATAGAAAACGTTTGAAGAAAGTTGTCAATAACAGTTTGTCGTTTATGTGTTTCATTTTGATCAGCTTTCATACTAAATTGCGTAGAATATTTTTCCGATTCAAAATCGAGATTCTCGATATTTCCACAGTTTATTTATAATAGCTTCTAAACTGGATTTATCTATCATTTTATATACTTTATAATATATGTTCATGCCCTACTTTTTTTAACATACTTCAAAATGGTAGGATATTCTCAATTCGTTGAAATATTTTTTTATGTATGTTGAGCGATAATTCTTTACCACGTTGCCCGATTTCTAGGATTCTTTTTGTTAGAAAAGGAAACAGTTTTATATACATTAAGTCAAGATCTGAAGATGGGATCCATAAGAAAATCATTAACATCTTTATTTTTAAAGTAGGTTTTTTTTTAAATTTCTTTAAACCTTACTGGTTCGAACGCCGTAAGGAATGAAGAAATGTAAATAATTGTTGTGCCAACCAAAAAACGAAGAGGAAGTACCGATTAAAATATCGAGTGACAGAAGAGTTCCTAAGATTGTTGAGATCGGGTTTATGTTTTAAAATGCCTTAAAACCGATATCGATAATGTCTCCCCGTCGCTGGGCAGCCTGTATATAAATATACAGATCTCTATTTACATAATTATAATTCTTAGGTAGGTTTAGATTTGCAGACATAAATCTTGTAATAAATATAACAGCTGCCTAATACATTGATTACATTTTCATTAGCCAATGTAAAAATGTCTTCTATTGTACCTAGGATTTGACTAAACACTACACAAAACTAAAAATAAAATGCCACATTCATCGTGTAATTAATGCCGCGTTTGAGAATCCCCATCGGATGCATTTTTTACATCTCGAGCGTTTTTTATCCACATCGGACACATCTGTCCCATTACATTTACGTATACTGAATCACGTGATCAAAGATTTACTACTTACTACATCTCAGATGCATCCGATGTGGATTCTCAAACGCGGCATAAATAATAAACTACAAACGGTCCTGTAAGGGCAGCGTCATATAGCCTTGAAACACCGGATTTTAGTGCTATTGCCAGGTCAATATTGAATTTGTAGGTGAATCGCTTATTGAACATTAAAAATACGGTATTAATGACATTAATACGGTATTTGTATATATTTATGGGAATGTAATTACACATAAATATTATTAGTTGATTATTTAAATGTTTATAAGTTATTTTGTGGCGATATTTCGTAGATATAAACTGTTTAAATCATATAATTTAAAAATTAATTAATTTAAAATTCTTTTCTGTTAGGTATGTTTAATATATTTGGCAACACTACAGGGACAAGTCATGCTTATTGCGCAAGCTTTTAGACACACTATTTTGCGATGTCAGGCGCAGAGACGCGTTTTTATGCACAGTAGGTTTCAATTTCTGCTTAAATGTTATGTTTATATTGGTCTTCTATATTATTTCTATGGGACATCACCACTAGGGTTGAAAAGAGATGAAAGGACTACGATGTTGACAGGGGCTCTGGTATTCAAAAGTACGTCATCCTTCTACTAAACTTCAAAAAAAAGGTCGTTGAGTTCCTCGCCATTCTACTGATCCTCAAAAAGAGTCATCGAGCTTAACAAAAAAATCTCCTCGCCATTCTGCGGAGCTTTAAAAAAAAAAAAATTTGTCGTAAAAAGTTCATTTTAAATTTAAGTCGCAAGGACATTTTGCCTTCAAAAAAGGACTGTCCTCTTCAAAAAAGGACAGGTGGCAACACTAACTACCACCAAGTTGTCCGAAAACTTGGGAAACAACTGAACTTTTTAATTTACCCGTCCATGTTACCTTAAAGTACCCTAAAAAGCGGTGAAGATTAAACAAATGCAACCCTTAAAATTGATACAAATAATGAGTACCTAACAAAAACGTGGTCACAATATTTCTACGATTTTATTTTGACTTTTGGTGGAGTTAAAGACATTTCATTTCCATTTTCTGAATCCATTTTGTCTTAATTTATAGTAAACTATTTTATAAATTATATTTTAATTAAAATTTGATTAATTAATTCGACTTTTAGGTGACTAACGCGGCCTACTAATAAAATGCCTAACTTATTGAAAGCGTAGTGATAAAAATTAGTGATTAATGATTATTCACCGCTAATAGTGCATAATAAGAGCTTCTTTAAGTGATAAAGTTAATAAAAAATGGGTACCGTTTACAACTTTCGTGGACAAAAATATTTAAAATTAGTTATTTTGTCTTGACAACCTAAAATATTTTTTTTTAATTTGTAGATTTTCGTTAGTGGGACGTAGAAAAAAAACATATTGTACAATTTGAGTGGATTGTCCATATTTACTTTTGTTGTACAAACTACTATTATCTAACTGTTATAATTATTGTTACCTACTTCTTTTAAAAATATATGTTTATAAACAAACTGAACATACCTAATTACTTTTTACTGCAAATTACATCAAGCCTAAATTAAATTTTGTTTGTTTGTCATCCCCAATCTAACCTTTCTTTGACAATCTTAACCCTCTTGTGCAAAATTTATTCCTACTAAATTCAGTAGATATTTTCAGAAAACTTCAACTTCGTCATCATCAATGACGTTTATATTAAATCCAGTATACATTTAAAATTAATTGCTCCTGGTGACATAACAAAAAATAAACATAACCTTACCTTAAAACTTCCTATATTGTTCGACTACTTTGACGAGTAGACAACACTGCAAGACTGTGACTTCATAACAAAGAGGGAAACTCATGCTCATTTTATAGAAAAAAATAGGCATTTTCGGACTTGTTTTTGAGCCAAGCATGCCACAATCTTTATTTAAGTTTAATTTTAGTATTCAAATACTTAATTCAAGATTTTAATATTAGAATGTTAGAATGTAATGCTTAATTTAGGTTTATTAACTCTTAGGAACAAGAATGTCAGGTAATTGATTTAAGTTTGGACATTCTTGTTTTTAGAATGATTTAGCTGCTCTATCATACTTGAATCAAACATGTTTAATATGTATATGAATATAGACACCTACGCTACCGTATAGTCAATACATTTGCGTTTACCAACACTCATTTCAATATATCAACGGGATATCCATAAATGTAAGATAAACTATTAAAGACGGACAAGTTTAAACACCCTTTATCATGAAAACGGAGCATTTCCGGATCCATGTCTACATGAACTTTTGTTATAATATTTTTAGATATAGAATCTCTTATTAAATTTTCTTCACAAGATTCTGTGACCCTGTGTATAACAGTGGTACTGAAATATTATAATTGAGAAATTCGAGAGACGCTAAAATGGTGGTTCCCACCTTATCGAGACTGAGGCCCACAATGGTAAACTCGTAGCGTAAAAAAAAACGAGAAATGATTTAACTTGGAACGACCAAAAGCAATAGTAGTATTAGGACGTTGAATTTTTTGATTTGTGAAGTATTGGCATCATGTGATGATTTTCACAAGCCTTGATTTTTATTCTATATCGCCTTTTGATTAGGGTTTACAAACTTGTTCGAGCAATTTTTTCAATAATAATTGGCCCCTATACCTCTTAAGCCTGTTCATGTAAAATATTTGGGCTCCATACTTTGCCTATTTATATAATATTAATAAAGGACAGAATGATGAGTATTGCAACTGTTAAAAAAAATAAATTGGCTTTCAGTTCAGACTGATATTTATTTATAAAATAAAAATGATCTAGTACCATGACATCAGATCTATTAGAAAAAATAATATTCAATATAATTCGCAAAATCACAACTATAATACAATAGCCAACCTGACTTTCATGTACGGCAAGCTATCAAGAAAAGGTCCCAAAATACAATATTTATAAAAGATTTAAAAAATTTAATAAACTACTTACAGAAATTAAAAAAAAACAATAAATGTATTCAAAAGTAACCTCAAACAATACTTGATAAATAAACAGAGCGGATATACTTTCTTGTGATAATACTCTTTAAACCTGCCCTTTATAAGTATTTCCCTTAATTTATTGTTGTTTTACCCTCGTTTTACCCGCATTTATTATAAATTATTATACCCAAAAAAGGTTGACAGTTGTGTGCACGTAGTTTAGATTCAAAAGGATAGACTTGTATTTCGTGCAAATTTTTTTTTAATTATTAAATGCAAAGTGCTTTTGACATGGTGCCATCATCAGTGCTTATCTAAAAAAATTGTGGATGTAAACTTACAATTTATAAATATGTGTAAAAATAAAATCTGTGTAAGACTTTTAAGTCAAAAGCTAAAAATATATATATAAGGTAATTTTGAACAAATTAACAATTAAAAGATAACAAACAGAGTGGCATAACCCAGTGTTGGGAATAGTGCAGTGCTGCCAGAATGAAAATGGCAAATCGTACTAAAAAAATTTTTAAAACGTACTGAATCTCAAAAAACCGTACTGAATAATCAGTTGTTAAAAAAGTACTAGATTTTATGAAAACGTACTAAAACATAAATCAAAAAACACCATAAAAGGGCGGGAAATTTAAATTAATAACCTATAAAAAAGCTTTTATTGAAACATTTACAAAAATGTTATCATATAGAAACAAACAGGTACATAGGTAAAGCGAAAGCAAAATAAAAATAATTTTCTTGTGTTTTCTCACACTTGTTAAAACTATATAACAAAAAAAATTATAAAATTTAAATAAAATAAAGAGTAATGCTTATGAGTAAAAAAATAAAAAACAACACTCAAAATAAATGCTAATATCATACTAAGTGTAAAGGAACAAAATAAAATTCTTAAACTAAATCACTTTTATAGGAACTTCGGGTAATTAAATTAGATTTCCTAAAATAAACATTTTTCATACTTTACAAAAAAAAAAAATGTTAAAGGATAACATTCATCATACATTTTTAGAAGTTGAAGAATAATTTATACAGGTTTTTAACATAGATTGTGACGGACACCATGTTATGCAATTTTATTCTTGCAAAAGAGCTTTGCAATGTAATAAATAGCTACAATTTTCAATACCTAATGTATTGCGGGTTTTGGTTTTAATTAAATTGAGCTGAGAAAATATCCTCTCTACTGTTGCGCTAGAATGTGGAAAACACAATATATCACTTATAAACTGAGATAAGTGAGGATACATTATTTTATTAATCTCATTTTTTAATTAATAATTTGGAACCAAAATTTTTCAAATCCTAATAATTGTAGTTTTTCACTTATCTCAGTTGGTAAATCAGATATACTTCGAAATTCATTACTAATATCTTCAAATTTTTCAGAATCAGTAATGAATTGGAACTGGTTGCGAAAATCATTTAAATAATTTTCATCGATAATTTGAGTATTCTCGTCAATATGAAGTTGACTCTTTGCTCCTACATATATTGAATTTAGAGGTAAATATTCCGCTTGATTTGAGGGGTCAATAGCTCTTAAAGTGTTAAATTCATCTACATAAGATTTCTTCATAAAGTTTTTAGTAATGGTTTTAAACAGGGAATTTATTTTGTAATTTAGTGCAAACAATTGGGGCGACTCGGATTGAAATTCTAAATTAATTTTGTTAACTAAAGATAAGACATAAGATAAAAATAAGAAATACAATTTATATATTGGATTTAGAAGTGAATTTAAAAGTGTAGCTGCTGCTTGCAAATTGTCTTCTACAGCTGCTAAGGTGAAAAACGGAATTAAGGTAGGCCACAATACTAGTACTCTATTTACTACCTGCTCTAATGACAACCATCTAGTTTGACTTGGGCGCAATAATTTCTTAGGTTTAAGCTGAATAAACTCTGGAAAGTTTTGTAGTTCACTCATACGTTTTGAACTATGACAAAAATATGAGTACAAGTCTCGGGTAAAATCTTCAATTTGTTTGGGCAGTTTTGAAGCTGCGGCAGATGAGCATAAAGCCATTGAATGACAGACACACCCAATTACAAAAAGATTTGGATTAATTTGTTGTCGTAATCGTGCCTGTACCCCAGAAATATTACCTGACATGACAGCTGCATTATCAGCAGCAAAACCTATTAAATCTGCAGCATTCAAATGATATTTTTTTAATGTATTAAAAATTTCATTGGTAATTGCCTCAGCTGTACACTGCTCAATTTCAATTAAATCGAGAAAATGATCTTTTACACAATTTGCTTTTTTATCAGCAAATCTGATTACAAGTGCTAAACATTTTTTGGTGGATATATCTGTTGTCTCATCAATCATTATAGAAAATTTTTGGCCCTTGATAAGCTCACAAATAGTTTTAGAAAATTCATCTTTGAAAGATTGTAAATACATTGTGGCTTTAGTGCGACCACATTTAACATTTTTTAAAATATTTGAATCATGTCCTGCAGATGCCATACATTTTGGAAGATGGTCCATGATTAAAAATGGTAGATTATGTTCTGCCAAGAACATAATCATTTTTAATTCTGCTCTTTTTGTGTCTACAGATATTGTTGGTTTGGATCCCGAGGAGAGAAAATTCATCAATTGTGGGGTTGACTGAGCTATTTTTACTTTGGATAAATGTCGCTTTGTTTTTTCATGCCTCTTTAAGTGAACTATGCCACCGGAAATATTTCTTTTACAAATCTTACAGTGAGCTACACCATTGTTTGACCGGATCCAAGAAAACGATTCTTGCCATTTGCAATTAAATTTAGCCTTATAGAGTTTTCTTTTCTTATGCACTATTTGATGGTTCTCAGTGTTATCACCATCCTCCTCCTCCTCCTCATCATCTTCAAATTGAGAATCTATCTCAACCTCAATATTTTCAGCATTAAAAATCAATATTTATTTGATTTTCCTCTTGGGAATCTTTAATTTGATGAATAAGAAACCTTCAAAATTAAAACAATCATATTTATAAACATTATTTAATCTGCAAAGAAAACTTATTACTTATCCATTTTCCTCTCCAAATTCCAAAAATTGCATCCAATAAACTTACAACAAATTTAAAAAATTAGTAATTAGTTGTAAAATAACTGTCAACAGTGTCAACCACTAATGAAATATGTCATTTATCTTCTTTTTTTTTAATACTTAATAGTACTGAAAATTGTACTGAATTGACAAATTTCAACGAAAACGTACTAAAACTAAAAACATAACACTGACGTACTGAAAAAGTTGAAAAAGTACTGAATTCAGTACAAAAGTACTGAATCTGGCATCCCTGGTCAATAGTGAGTGTGGGATAAGCCCCTAAAAAATCATATTTGATCTCCAGAAGCAAGTTAGCTTGTGTTGAACTAAGGAATTATACCATCTTCACTATTCGCATTGAGTACAGTTGAAAACAAATTAACAAATTAGTTAAAAATTTAAAAAAATTTACAAATAGAGGGTGACTGTGGAAAATATATTGAAATTTAAATTTAGAATATAATAGTTAATATGAAAAAGGCAAAAGGCCAAAAATAAATAATAATGTTAATTCTTATAGAAATTTAGCATTATGCACAGGTATATCTACATTACTTAATGGTTGTAGATCATATGTTAAAAAATTTCCACTTAATATCGTGGCGCCATGGTAACTAGTCAAAATTAAGGCATCTTATTGGTTGAAAAGTAGAGGTGTGAAATTTTCTGTAAAATTTGTTTTGTTACCTAGTTACAACCTTTTTCGTTGCAAGTATTCAATTCAAGAAGCAGTAAGTACATTGAATTCAGAAATAGTAAATACATTGAATTGAAACTAAAGCATATTTAGTTCAGCCCGTATTATGTAAATGCCATATTTAGGAAAATTTCTTGTTGAACTAATCTTGTCGAATTTTGACTTACCGTAAACATATATAACATTTTTTTGATAAGTTTGACAGTTAACTTTTAACAAAAACAAACCATTCTGTCATTTCATTTGACACACATTTGTAGTTTTATTTTGCAGGTCATAAAAAGAAGTTTACAGGTATGTAACAAAATTATTTTTAATGTTTCAATGTGTACCTACAATCTTGAAAATAAAAGAAATAAAATGTTAATAAATATCTATAATGTCTACTGTCTTCATCAGTGGAAGACAAATTACGTCATCACTAATATAGCGTGTTATGTACACAATAAATAAACGATTGCATGACTAGACCGCATAATTAAAAGTAAAAAGTCTTCATCCTTTTTCATCGTCTTTTTCTCCTTTTAGAATACCCTCCATATTTATTATCTCCTGCATTTCCATGGTGTTTGATATCGACGCTGTGACTGTACAATGCTCCCGGTGGGTTACTGCTGTTGTGTATTATGTTGTATATCCATATAAGTATACCCAATTTTCCAATTAATATACTTTTAAGAACCGACAGCTTCATAAAAACCAGCACCAAGGGAAGAAACATCGCCTGCATTATGAACGGCATGGCCAAGTTTGGCAGAATCATGGATAGGATGTCGGTATTAGACTTTTTTCTGGCTAAAATAAATAATAAATTGATCACACAAAATAAAATTGACACTAATGACATAAGAAATCGGGTAACTTGTTTACTATTTGGTTTTTCTGATCTACTTATGATTTACTATCCCAAAAATATAACGGTACCCAATTTCAAGTCAATAGGTTGAATAATAAAGAAATTGTTGCAAAGAATTAGATACGTTCTCTTGCTGAAAAGTCCTAATAAGGACGAAACCGGTCCAAGAATGATGTTGTCCGTAGTGAGCAAAATCAAAGGTAGATAGAGTGTTGAAATTTAATTTTCTATCTCTGCCGTCTTTCCTTTGGATATAATTCAATACCTGTCGCGGTATTAGCCAAAGGAGTAGTTGTTTTCTAAAGAGAAACGGTCGCTCGTAATTTATATGATATTGGCTTTTATTTTTATATTATTTTACGTCTTGATCACATTTGAGTTTGAAATATTTTTCGTTTACTTATTATTGCTGTCAAGTCAGTGTGCTTATGTCCCATAAACTATTTAATTTGTTCACTTATACAATTAAAACTGCTTGTATTCAAATTAGATGTAAATTATGGGTTATTTTACAATAGAAAAAAATTATAGCCGAGGTACACACATTTTTTAGACGATTCTCTCAAGTATATCCAACATTTATTTTATTTCTTAATTCTAAAAAGATACCTAAGGTTCTATATATTATATATTGACGCAGTGATCCCAGATCTCACGATTTATCGTGAGATCTCACGATTCAGTACTGAGTCTCACGATTTATCGTGAGATCTCACGAATCAGTACTGAGTCTCACGATCTCACGATAATTCGTCTTATTCTCACGATATTTTTAAACAAGCTGCTTGCGGTAACGAACCTTAAGTTTTTATGTAAAAATTATTTTTAATTAATCATATAATTGAATTATGTTGTAGAGTCCGGCTCTGGAATGCTTGGACCGAAACATGGCGGACGACTGTCACTCAAAGATATCGGATAATAGATACGCCTTGTATACATTACACTTGTCCGCTACTTTTTTTTGACGGTACGCTCTTCCTATGTTGTCGGATCTCTTTCATCAAATATCAAACATTAAATTTTTATTAAAAAAGTTACTATTCCCTTTAATACAATCTAATAAAAACAGGAAATAAAGAATTGAAAGCATCAATATGAGTTTTTTATTAATTGCAGTCACTTAAGACTTTTATTTAGCTATTTTTACATGTGTATCATATGGGAATATTAAACATTCTGGTATATATCCTTTAAGTTTGGCAACCTAAGACATTTTGCTGATGTTGTCAAAGTGACAGATCAAGTTTTATTGTGTTTTTTGTAGTTTTTAAGAATAATTTAAACCCTAAACTTTTTAATAAGGACTTTTACGATGGGGAGGAAATGTATAGCGTGTCGAAATACGCAGAATAAGAATGTTATTCGGTCATTTCATAAGTAAGATTATGTTAGCATAGACGTAGGCATATACAGGGAATAAGGCTTAATTTATTTAACAGTGTAAAGTTATTTAGCACTAGTATTGTTTATTTAAATAATAATGTTCTATATTTTCTGATCAGGTTTCCTAGAGAAATTATTTAAAGTAGAATTTGGCTACAAAATCTATGCTTGGTGGAGGAAGACATTATGAAAATAAAAGAAGCCTTAGTATGTTCTGACCATTTTTGTATGGCAGATATTTATGAAAATTTAAGTGGTAGACACATTTTAAAACATAATGCTATACCTATCAAGTAAGTACAATATTTATTATGGGTATTTTTATAATATATAAGTTCTAAAATTATACAGAAATCATCACATTTTACAGAATTTTGGAAGAGGTAGTTGAAGAGGCGAAAAATAAAGAAGAATGTATGTTATATAAATTATTGGATTATTTTTGATGTAAATAACTTATTTAAGAAAATTATCACTGCTTAAGTTAATGCTGAATTAAATATAAAATATTTTAGATATTCAAATCTTTTGTGTACCCGAGTGTGTACCTAAAAAGCATTTTATTTCAGAATCAGTAATTTTTAATTGTTTTTATAATTTTTTATCTATTTTTAAGTAACTGGTTCCATAAAATGCACTTATTCTTATTGTAAAATATTTTAATACATATACATTTACAGTATTATCTCCAGACAATACTAATTTTATCATTGAAGACAATAGTTTATAGTAACTGCATTCAACAAAAGAAAAGAGATAGTCAAAAGATTCACAGGTTATTGTTCGGACAATGGCATAGTAATTAATCCCAAAAAAATCCAAAGTAGGCTTTTGCACATTCAAATCTAATTAGAAAGTAGACGTTTTTCGCGAACTGTCATAATTTGACATTATTGGCGCAAACGTGCACCAAAGTAACTTTGGCACACACTTGTCTGTTTTCATTTGAATGAAATAAATGAAAGCTAATCGATATTTTAAAACAATATATAAGTTAATCGAAAATATTAAATTGACTTCCTAATATTTTAAATCATTTAACAGTATTTTCTGTAAATTATTAATCATAAATAATTACCGACACATAAGTACTAAAAACTTTTCTCTTCGACAGATTGCCGTGCTCCGCTAACGCGTCGCTCGGCAACTTTTTGTCTCAACTGCCAAATGTTTTACTTTCTGTTCTTAATACACAAATAGCTATTTTGTCTTTTATGCCAAAATATGCTTTACAAAATATCAGTTATTACACTAAATAAATCTATTGAGCAGGTTCTTCATTAAGAGTTTGTAGGAGTAACCACTGATAGTAAAATGACATTCGAAATGTCACAAAAGAAGCTTCCTTCAGTTTTTTTTCTATTCGGAAAAATTAGAAATAAAGTCTCTCTTGATAATCTTAAGCTATGTGTTTTAGCCTTGTCCAGATATAAAATCATTACTGATTACTCTCCTAAATGAGTTATTATACCATTACACAAATAATGTTAAAAATAGGTGTCGTGACATGCAACCCAAATGGTATGTAATGGAAAGATCCTATTTGTATAATTTATGTATCTGAAATAAAATTGTTTTACTGTTTTTAATAAGTTTTTTATTTCATAAAAAAGGTAGTCTACAATATAATTATTCTTTTTTCGACCTGTAGAAAAGGATTTCTGACAATACCCATGTAAAAATAATAATAAATGGCGCTATATTTTTACTTCATGTATTTAAAAAAAAAAAGATAATATACAGGGTGAGTCGGGAGGAGCGCACCAAACTCTAGGAGTATATTATACACGTAAAAATAATGTAAAAAAACTCATATGTTCTTATCCGATTTTCATTTGTTTTCAAGTTATAGTATATTAACAAATAAACAAATTCACACATAAAAATTCTCTTAATCATAGCGTTCTTTTAATAAATGTTCTACGAAGAGCGTTTGTTGCTCTCCTAATTGATTCATTTTTTCTGTTCACTGTACACTTACAGTTCATCAAAACGTCAGAATTATCAAATACCTTTGAGCCTTGAACATATGGCATACTTTGATAATGTTAAAATTCAGAAGTGGAAAGCTAGATTAATATTTTTAATTACGCCATAACTTGAAAACAAATGAAAATCGGATAACATATGAGTTTTTTTACATTATTTTCACGTGTATAATATACTCTTGAGTTTGGTGCGCTCCTCCCGACTCACCCTGTATAATAAAATACTAATAAAAATGTTCTTCCACTTTGAGCTGCCTACTATTTTAGTTTATAAGAAAATATAAAAAATGACTTTTTGAATGCCCTGTATAAATTGAATATGTTTTTTTTAAATTTACCTTTGATTCCGAAGACCCATAGGTTATTGATTTGGTCATTAAATAATTTTTATTAAAAAATATATCTAAATCCTCCCGAAACACTACGTCTATGTGCGACGTACGATTCCCCTTTCCCCGTCTGGTATAACATGCGGACAAAAGGTGTATTGGGTATACAGTGTGAAGGGCGAGTCTATCTTAGATAATATGATGTCTATGCTGTCACTTGACAGTACGATAATTTCTTCATCGGCTGGTGGCAACACTGCTTAACAGTCTCAGTGGTGGTTCCTGACTGTTGCATTTACAGATTGTAGGCTTGCGGTGGTCAATTCCCTATCTACGTATTCCTAAGAAATTTATTATTTTTTCTTTATTAGATAAGTTTATATGAAAATTCAAAATAAGTATTTTGAGACATTTAGATGGTCCTGGAGAAACAGAAATCCTCTTACTCCCAAAAAATATGTCAGCGTTTCTGATTAAAACCTATTTGTCCGAAAGGAGAGCCAAATTGACAGAAAATTATTTTTCGTCTTTATTATACACGTGTTAGAATGGTGCTGAGAGTCAAAAGTTGGCCACTCCTTACTCTCCGCTTGGACAAAGTACATATTAATCGAAAATACTATATATTTTTTACTAAATTGCGCATGCGTTGTACAATCTCACGATTTCTCACGATTTTTTCATGATCAAATTCACGATTTTAGGCTCAGTACATCTGGGATCCCTGTATTGACGCATTCGAATAAAAACGACGTTTTTTTGACCCATTTAAATAAAAAATCTGATGTGTCCAACACATGACTTTCCTACCTAGTTATTGAAGGTTTTTTCAGGTTATTTTGTACAACCTCTGTAAATGTTTAGTGGATAAACTAAATATATACATTTTCCACATACATCTAACTCGAAACATTTTTCTATATATTCATTGCCAACGAAAATACTAAAAAATTTAAATTTTACACTTCTTCAATTTGTCCATTACGGTCCATTTAAGAGAAATCATGTAAAAAAAACTTTTAGTTCAATAATTTTCTTAAAAATCAGAATTTTGCACATTTTGTCAAATTTCTCAAATACGGACTTGTATAAGGCAAGAATTTTGGGGAGAAATATAAGAAGTAACTTTTATTTAAAGAATTTTCTTCTCCAAACGTAAATAACAGATGTGGCGTGTTGTCTTCTCTTTTTAGCTATATGCATTCGGCATATCGTCTCACTCGTGTTAGGCTCACTCACCATAATGCGCCACAGACACAGTATACTTGGGTATACTGTGACACAGAGACGTGATCAGCCAGAGGACAATTATGTACAATAAAATATAGATTAATACGTATGAAAATAAAAATAAAATTAAATTTATATTTTTATGTTCTGTAATATTAAAATACTGTGTTTTTATGAAATTTAACTGGGTGTTCACTGCACAAATGAACCAATGGAGAAACCGCCCCTGATAGATTCCATAAAATATAAAAACGACCTCCTATAAAGTACCCCCGAGGTGTTCCGACTCTGTGCAAAATCTAATCAGTTCACTTCAGGCAGGAATGAAGCTTAAATTTAAAATATCAATGTTTTCTTCAAAATTCGAAATTTACACTTCTTCTCAAATATCTCGAATACAGTCCATTTTAGAGAAATTATGTATAGGACAAGAATTATAGAGAATTATATAACAAACAACTTTTACTTAAACAATTTTTATAAAAATTAAAATTTTTAATTTTGTCAAATTTCTCGAATACGGACCATTTTAGGAAAATTTTGTATTTAACAAAAATTCCATAGAAAACTATTGAAGTAACTTTTATTTAAAGAATTTTCTTGTTTTTTTTTTTTTTTTAATAATAATAATAAATTTATTCACTTTAAAAATCGAATTACAATTTTAACTTATATTTAACAGAAAAAAAATTGTCTATGTGAATAAATAGTGGTTCCACTAAAGGCGAACCTTGTGCGTGGGATACTTTGAGAATTATATTCTACATAGCATTTCTTTTTTTTTACTATTTTTTCTTTTATTTATTATAGAGACAAATTAGCTACAGCATTGAATAGTTTATAAATAATTATTGTATACATAAATAATTGGATAATTGCAGGTAAGTTCGTTTTAGATTTTAGTTATATTTAAATTAATAAAGTTATGAAATTTTTCTCGTTGCTTAGTTAATATCCATTGTTGTAATTTAGACCTATAAAGAGCTATAGAATTTAGGTTTTTAAATTCCACCGGAAGTGAGTTAAATATTTTAGGACCGAGATATACAAAACTTCTTTGCCCTAGAGTCTTTTCCATTCTAGGTACGGTGATCACATGATTTTTATAACGCGTTGGGTATAAATGTTGTACCGGAGTGCTAAGGAAAATATGCTTCTTCTGAAATATTGCTACACGTAGGTAAAAAAGTTGTCTCAAACTTCTGCTTCTACAAATAAACGTTCTGTTGGGTAAGTATAGTTTTTATTATAAATAATTTTTAAAATCCATTTTTGTATTATTTGTAAATGTTTAATATGGATATCTGCCGCACCTCCCCAAGCGATAATACCATAGGTTAGATGAGTCTGTATTAATGCATAATAGAGCATCTTTAAGTGGAGGATATCCAAAAAACATTTTAAAAATTTAAATTTTGCTAAATGGAATCTAATTTTCTTTATAACACTACTAATGTGTGCATTCCACTTTAAATTACAATCTATTATAATTCCCAAGTATTTAGTTGTTTTTGACATTTTTATACAAACATTTTCATTGTTGTAATTTATATTAATTGAATCATATTCAGGTAAATTTAAACGTATATAATAGATATATTCCCCCTCAGATGTTCCGAAAATGAATTGCACTAAAATTTTAGTATAAAAAAAATTTGAATTGGAAGCTGAAACTGATGACTTTCTCAAAAAGGAGGAAGCTCAATTTTTGGTAAAATTTTAGTTATTTTATGTAAAAAGTTAAACTCAATCTATTGTTAGAAAAAACAGGTAGATAGCTGCGAAAATAAGTGACAAAAAAGTAAACTTTTTTACTTTATAATAAGAAGTGCAAAGAGTATGTACCTTTTTTAAATTTTGATGCAAGAGGGATCAGCTCCAATTAAGCAATCCAAATCACATGACTTTAAATGTTGTACCCTGGGCAAAAACAACAAAAATACGTGATTCCCTTGAGAAAAACACTTCTAGTGAGGTTTTTAGTCTATAGTCTATTTGTATGTATGAGAGAGTAATAAAACAGCATTTCTAATGCAAAACTTAGTACGGTCATTTTAAATATTTTTACAGAATAATCTAAATATTTCCTAAAATTGTAATAAATGTACCTGAGCTATTATAAGTTTTGGGTCTTTTATTGGTCCTTTATAAGCTGTACAGAATAATAGAAAAAGGTTTGGACAGGCGAAAAGCCCTGTGTATTAAAGATTACATAGCCGTATCTTAAGATTATTTTCAATAAGTACCTATTTGCCAATTTTGTTTTATTTTAATTCCAAGAATTTCTTTCAGTAATCGAATTATAAGTAGATAAATACCTTCCCAACAAATTTCACCGAAAATGCGATTATAGGTTTTCCATTTAGTACGGAGGTCCAAGTTGTGTATTCTTGACAGTTTACTAAATGTCGTTTAGTTGCAACTTGCAAGATGCAGTGTGAATTCTAGTGTGATCATGGAAAATTTGGAAGGGCCGCGTAAACGACAAAAAATCGGTTCTTTAACAGTTAATGAAAAAAAATTAATATTTAATTGTTTTAAATCATTTACAGACAAACATTTATGTAAAAGTGTTGATGACACAGTGGAATTAGTAGTACGCTTGGTGTTGGGAAATCTACGATTTACAGAGTTGTTAAAGAAGAGAAATATGGCGAGTCACAAACAGCACGTAAAGCTCCAGGAAAACCAAAATTTCAATAAGAAAATCTTCTGAAAGAAAGACTTCGAAGGAAAGTGCATGCGTTCTTCTTTAGAAAAGAATTTCCGACAGTAGACAAAGTTCTTGCCACGGTTCGAGATGATAAGGATTACCCTGAAATGAGTCGAAGCACACTATGGAAACTTTTAAAAGAAATAGGTTTTCTAGGGAAAAAGCATTCCAGAAAGTCTATTTTAATAGAAAGAAGCGATATTTTAGTATGGAGAAGAAATTACCTAAGGACTATAAAAGAAATGAGAAACCAAAGAAGAAATATATTTCATTTAGATGAAACATGGATCAACGAGGGACATAAACCAAATAAATTTTGGCAAGAAGAAACTGTTACAAGTCGAAGACAGGCTTTTTAAATAATTTATCTACTAGTTTAAATCCACCATCAGGAAAGGGGCGCAGACTAATAATAGTATACACATCGGTAGTTCAAACGGTTTTGTTAAAGGTGGTTTATTGACTTTTGAATCTACTCGTACCGGTGACTACCATGAGGACATGAATGCTGATGTCTTTAAAGAGTGGTTCGAACAAATTATAGATCTTCTTCCTCAGAACTGTATAATAGTAATGGATAATGCAAGTTATCACTCAAGACTTATAGAAAAAATGCCCACAACCAAGTGGTTAAAAAAGATTTACAGAATTGGCTAAATTCAAAGAATATTAAGTTCCACCCCGGTTCTATGAGAAAAAAGAACTGTATCATTTGTGTTCCCTTCATAAAGAGAAATTCAAAAAATATGAAATTGATGAAATTGCAAAAAATCGTGGGATGACGATGGTTAGATCACCACCATATCATTGCGAAGTAAACCCGATTGAACTGATATGGGCACAGATAAAGGGAGAAGTTTCATGAAAAAAGAATTCTTTTAAAATGAGGGATGTTAAACAGTTGTTTTTGGAGGCTGTAAATAATGTGAAGCCTGAAAACTGGGAAAAGGCAGTAAATCATACGATTAAAGAAGAGAAAATGTGGAAGTTGGTCAATATTACTGATGAAATGATCGAGCCACTCATTGTAAATATTGGTTGCGACAGTTCATCTTCTGATTTCGATCCTGATTTGGATTTGTAGGTAAGAAGTAGTTTTTATATTAAAATTATTATTTATGAACGTAACGTTGTTTAAAAGTCAAAGTTTAAACCCTTATACCTACATAACCCGTTTGACACAATGTTCTTAACATGCCTTGTGGAAAAATAAAACATTTTAGAAAAAATTGCACTTTTTTACCTTCAGCTGTTTAGAAGTTATAAGCAGGTTAATTAGGTGAAAATATAAGTGTATACTCGAGGAATAACTTCAAAAAATATTTTAACTGTCTACTAAAAGAAGTGATACGCCTATGGATTACAAACGCTTTATTATTTTAATACTCTCTCATACATAAAAATAGACTATAAATTTGTATTATTTTTTTGGAGTGTTGAAGTTTTTTACGGTGTTTTTAGTTGGAAAATAGAATAATTTAATATTCATTAAGAATATATGAATACTAAAATTGTATGATTTCCAATAACAGTCAAATATTAAAGAAAAAGTCAGGTTAACAAACTTTGTTGTTTTCGCCAGTCCTCTGCCATTTTTGTCCATTCTGACAGGACATTAGATTGCTTAATTTTCCATTTTTTTTTTTTGACATTGATATATCATCAACAAAATTAAACAAAATGGAGCTGGCAAGAGCCTCAATTGCTGTCGAATTAAGTTGTACCAAACAAAATAACCTACTAAACCAATTCAAACCAAGATTAAAAGAATTAAAATACCTTATAAACAATCTAAATCAGAGCGAAATAATTATGAACAATTTCTTTACATACCTGTAACATTAAAACCTTTGGTATCATTAATGCAATCACAATTGACGCACATCCACGAAGATGCCAACATTGTAAAAACAAACACAATCATCACAATTGAAAATATGTTTATCATTGTGCGTCCATTTATTGTTATTTATAAATACTTTCATTTAACTGTTAATGTTGATAGAAAATGCCGTCATGCTTTTAGTATTGAAGTACCGCAGTTGAATTACAAATAATTCTGAGGTACCGGTTAAATTGTACCTATATCTACTACCAGTTACTTATTCTGAATAAGTTGTGCTAGAGTAGAGATTTGGTCTAGTTTACTTCTTATTCTTTGAAAGTTGCTACTGTGAAGTCAGCGCAGCGTAGCGGTGAAGTAGGATGATTTTGCGTTATATAAATTTGCATGAAATCGAAGGTATCATAACCATATGCTATAATAAGGAAGCAATTTTATAATTATGAGGATTAACCTAATAGGAAACTTTCCTATAGTTTACAAAAATTGTAAAACTTATTCAAAAATCATTCTACACTGTGCACAGTGAGCCAGGAAGCAATTAGAAGTGGTCAAGATTCAAAATTCTAATACTTTGAACTTGGTATATTGTATGCAAGAATTATTTTACGTTGTTACTGAGGTCCTTTCTATAGGGCCTCGGGGTATTGCATTCGTGCAGACGAAAAAATTTTCTTACCCCCATTTTTTAAAACTTTTTTTCATGTTTCCAATCATTCCGAAAATGCAAAATAAATTTCATCTGGTCGTCTATGTATATGAATGCCGGCACGATAACTCTGATTGACTTACGATTTTTATTTTCTTGAATAATTACTTCTAACTTCGAACCCTATTGATTTTCAGAATTTTCGGTTCACCCTAACTACTTTAATATCAATTTTCTTAAAATCCGCCTATGCATTTCTTAAGTGACAATTTTAGGAATTCCAATTATTTCTAACGTCAACGTTCCTAATATTCTTAACATTCCATAAATTGCAAGCATTCTCTAACGACCTGTCAAACAACAACTGTTGATAGTAAAAATGAAATTTCTAAGGCGGGTTGCGACATTCATACTTGCAACTATAGCCATTTTGGAGGCTATTTTTATTCGAAATTAGTCGCCAAGTCTGCCAATTTATGAAAAATATATAAGCAGTTTCTTAAAAATGACTTTTTTTATGGTGGTGCTAACTTAAGCGTACTACTATTTCGCCCCTAGCCACAAAAACACCTTCATCAAATTTACTGTCTCTCGGTCGTAACCCCATAGAATAATTAACCGGCCATTTTATTTGGCAAACTGCTTGACTGTGCCTGTCAAGTATCAAGATGTCAACTGTGATGTGTGAATGGCTCTTAAATATCAAATTATTTAAAAATGTATGCTTCTTTTAATATTTATTGCAAATAATTTGTAGTGTCTCTCAGTTCAGGCTTTCCATAAATAAAGATACAGCAAGACAGATAATAATATATAATGTTCTTATACAAAGCACTTTTTATTATGTTAAAAAGAGGTAGGATATAATGCTGGTTTTTTGTACATAATTTTAGTTATACAGTTTTGGATTACATATTCAACCAGCGAATTGTAAATAATAATTAGTAAACTCCTAGTCATAAATTCCTCAATTCATAAAATTTAAAAATCTGATGTGTCCAACACATGACTTTCCTATCTAGTTATTACAGGCTCTTTCCGGTTATTTTGTACAACCTATTGCAGCACCTCCAAAAATGTTTAGAGGATAAACTATATATATACATTTTCCACATACATCTACTTCGAAACATTTTTCTATGGATATTCATTGAAAACGAAAATACTAAAATATTTAAATTTAGCACTTTTCCTACAATTTTTCTATTACGGTCCATTTTAGAAAAATCATGTAAAAATAAAAATTAGAGAGATCGATATCGCAAACAACTTTTATTTCAACAATTTTCATAAAAATCAGAATTTTGCACATTTTGTAAAATTTCTCGAATACGGACCATTTCAGGAAATTTTGACAAAAAACAAAAATTATAGATAATAATATTAGAAGTAACTTTTATTTGAACTATTTTTTTCTGCAAACATAAATAAGAGATATATTCCATAAAATATAAAAACGGCCTCCCATAAAATACCCCCCAGATGTTCCGACTTTGTCCAAAATCTAATCATTTCACGTCAGGCCGAAATAAAACTTAAGTTTAAAATTTAATGTTTTTTTCTTTATCCGTTTTTGAGTTTTCTTCAAATTTCGAAATTTACACATTTTCTCAAATATCTCGAATACGGTCCATTTTAGAGAAATTATGCACAGGTTAAAAATTATAGAGAATTATATTACAAACAACTTTTGTAAAATTTTTATAAAAAAATATTTTTTTTCATTTTGTCAAATTTCTCGAATACGGACCATTTTAGGAAAATTTTGTATAAAACAAAAATTTTAGATAATAATATAAGAAGTAACTTTTATTTGAAAAATTTTCTTCCCCAAACGTAAATAACATATATATTCCATAAAATATAAAAATGACCCCCTATAAAGTACCCCCCAGATGTTCCGACTCTGCCCAAAATCTAATCAGCTCATTGGACGCTGGAAAAAAGCTTAAGTTTAAAATTTGGTGTTTTTCTGTGTATCGGTTCATGAGTTATGCGACACACAGAAACACACACACACACACAAACGCACACACACACGCACGCACGGACGCACGCACGCACGGACGCACGCACGCACGCACGCACGCACCCACACACACACACACACACACACACACACAGACATCATCGCGAAAATAGTCAAAACGGATTCAGGGGACTTCAAAACGTAAAAATCCGTCGAAAACTCGAGGTCGAAAAAAATCATGATTCCTATCCTTTCCTTATATCTGTATACAGATAGGAAAGTAAAAATGAATCTTCTCACCTTGGAATTTTAATGACGTAATGTGATCGCCCATTTCAAATTTTGATCAATTATGATACCGAGGTATTTTGTTGTATTTTTCACAGATTTTTAGAAATTTTCGTAAATAAAGAAAATACATGGCATTTTCGGAAATGCCTCATTCTACTTTTTTCAAAATATCTCAAAAACCAAAAGAGCAAAAATCTCAAACTAAACGGTATTGAATTATAAACAGAATTGTCTAAAACTTTCCCCATTTAACCGTTTTTCTATCTCTAACAGTTTCGGAGATCGCAATACATGCATCACCAATTTCGGACACATTGTATAGAAAAATATAGTTTTTCAATTTTCAAATGGGCAATAAAAACTTTTATAATATTGACAGTATTTTACATAAGAGTGTTCGATAATATCATTTATGAAACGAAAAATAAAAGTAGGGTCCAGGACAGATCCTTAAGGAACGCAATGCGTTATTATATTTTCCACATCGGTAAAAAGAATAAAAAAAATTACAATAAAATACTTTTATTTTACAATATATACAACTTAAAATTTAAAAATAAATATTAACTAGGTAACATACGTCAGTCAGATAGGTATCCCTTTTTTTGTGAGATTATAATATTTCTATCACCTATCAGGATGTTTAATTTTATATAAAAGCTGAATCTGTATTAAATTATCTTGAATATTAATATATTTTTTATATGCAAAAATGCTCGTTAACAACTTCATGGCAAGTATCACATTTGACTTCGCAACACCAAGAAAATTTACAGTTACATCGTCTGGCCACTTTTTTTTGCATCCTCTTTACAGTATGTCCGCATTTCTTGCATACATTTCTGCAACTATTTTTCTCCATTTTTGTAACGTTAGACCGGTTCCTAGAGCACATGCGACCTTTGGTGCCGAGGTAGCCTTAAAAGAGAATAATTTACGATTAAAAATCCAGGAGATTGGAGTAGGTGAAGCGAGATTGGTGTTACGAGGGTGAGCTCAAAAGTTCGTAGGAAATCAAAGGAAATTATAAATATGTTAACAGAATTTATTTGAATTGAGTAAAGTTGCTTATTCATATTATTATTACCTTCAGTAAAATTCGTGACACAATAATCGGGTGATCTAACCATATAAATCAGCCTGTTTTCAGTTCCAGGTATTTCTTTGACTTGCACCAAAACATCACTGGCTGAATTTCCAATAATTATCGACTTTTCCACAGCGCTGTGAGTCACCCTAACGGATTTCCTGTGCAAATCTTTTAATTTTCTGGATATTTCCTCGAACGGAGCTACTTGTATCCAACAAGTTTGCGTCGTACAACTGCCCGAGATTCCGTGACATCTGCATTTTCTTCTCATCGAACTTTGAATTATCTGAAAAATATACCTCAAGAATAGAAAGTCTTCTTATTTTTTTCTTGTAACTCTTAAGATACTGGAGTTATTCAACTTTGACAGGGATTTAATAGAAGAATTATTACCTTAATACCAACTTTAGCATTATGTCTAGAAATGTAGGCAGGAACATCAATACCAGTTTCCATGGAATCAATAATTTTTTCAGTAATCTGTGATGCAAACATTGGATTATCCGAGCAACCTCCCCATCTCCATTCAACGTTTTTATCATTATTAACACCTTTAGTAACATTTTCAGTAACTTCCTTTTTTATCCGTACATCTCCAGAAAGTGTCTTTATTTTTTCTTGATGATTTTTGTACTTTAACTGTTGATCAATAGGAAATTTATCAGTATTTTGACATTTGCATCCTTCGATTTGCCCTTGTGAACAGTTTTTGGTTATAGAATGGGCGATGCCTGCAGCTATAATGGCTTTGGAGAAAGCTGTTTCTTTGGTGGAGATTAATCTCTGTTGTCTAAAAAAAACAAAAATTGTTAAAACAAATTCAATAAAAGGAATCAGACTAATAATGTAATAAAATGGATAGACTGAAAAAAGAAAAAAAGACCTTTTCCTTCTCATTAATAATTCGTTATTTGGTGAATGTTAGAATGTTATGTACACCACGTTCATTTCATTTTCTAATATTATCATTTACCTGTTAAAAGTTGATTTGGGACAATTCCATCTCTCCCATTGGAACAAAGACTGACAATGATCTATAGCCATTTGTGTACCGCTTGCAATACTTTCGGCAATATTGGAACCTAATCCTTCCTAAAAATTCAAATAAAACGTCAACATTGTACAAATATCGACAAACAAATCAATAAAAATATAGTAAGTCAGATATCAGCTATCAAACATTTTAGTGATAAATTCTCAAAGTAATATGCCCCATTTATTGCGTATTTGTTCAATATTTAAAATAAAAGTTATATTAATTTAAAAAATACGTATTTAAAAAATATTTTTTCATATACAGGGTGTTTCATTTTTACTTGACAAATATAAATATATATTTTTTAGATTGAACACCCTGTATTTTATTATAATTTTAGAATGGTTTGGTAATACTGTATTCAATCCTAAAATGTTTCTTCTAAATATTGCAGGTTTGCCAACTTTTTCATTGAAAAGTCACTCTTTCGTCAAACCACCCTCGTATGTCATAATGATAAACTAACAACAAAAATCATAAATATATTAACATGTACAAAATCGAAACAACTAATATTAAGACTAGGGAATTTAAGTCACAGTAAGTTTTAACATCCTCACAGTAAGTTTTAACATACTTACAAATTTAGAAAAGCTTGAATTAAAAAATTAGATATAGAAATATAGAAATAAAGAGTGAGGACGATCATTACAATACTAAAAGAATATGAAAAAGGGATAGTAACGGGAAAATCAATTCTTAAACTGGAAGAAAACTGATTCGAGAAGACTCCGAAGACGATATAAATATAAACAATGAAAAGACAGTGGTAGAAAATATTAAAATGCTGAAAAAACAGATTAAACAACAAATTAAACAAAAGAGAGAAGAGCAATACACAAACAAAGCAATACACGGAAAACAATGCAAGAGAAATGAAAATATTAACAAAGAACTAACATTCAGCTGGTTAAAGCACGGATCCATCAAAGGAGAAACCGAATCACTAATAACCGCAACCCAAGATCAAGCAATAACTACAAACTATATATAAAAAAAAGAATACATAAAGCAGTGGATCCAAAATGTCGCATCTGCAAGCAATATGACGAAATCGTAAGGCATATAATGACAGGGTGTCCAATATTAGCCAGTAAAGAATACATCAGCCGTCACAATAAAGTATGTACAAGCTTGCACTACGATATATGCCAGCACTACAAAATAATGACGAAAACAAATTGGTACAACCATATTTCTAAAAGCGTCGAAACTAAAGATGACATAACAATAATCTGGGACACCCAAGTACAAACAGATAGAACAATTAATGCCAATAAGCCAAATATAATAATTAAAGATCTAGGTCAAAAAGTCTGCCATACTATAGATGTGGCAATACCATCGGATAATACAGTTACTCAAAAGGTAGCAAAAAAAACTGAAATATAGAGATCTACAAATAGAACTAAGTGGGATGTGGGGCTTAAAAACTACAATATTACCGGTCATCATAGGAGCAATAGGAACAATCCATAAAAACTTTACAAATATTCTTAAAACTATACCTGGTAACACTGACCACAAAACAACATACCAGCTGCAAAAAACAACAGTATTTAACACAGTACACATATTAAGAAAAGTAGTAACATAGTTGTAACAGAAGAGTCTCTACCTGAGGAAACAGGCAGTTTCTTGGAAGAAGACGAAATATACCTGAGACCATGAAACAACTGGTATCGGGGATTTTCTTTTTAAGGTTTTAGGTAAAGCTGCGGATGAACTAGGTCTCAGATTTGAAATAGATAACAACCAATTTCTTACAAGGTTGGAACCCGCTTAGGTAAAATGTCTAGTTAGGGCAGCAGAACAACACTTGCTTTTGGAAGATCACGTCAGCAAACCCCAACACGGTGTGTTTTACAGGAACATAGAAAGATCTTAATCTATCTCGGAAATGAACTTTCTCCTTTCTTCGAGCAGCTGACCTGAAGTCTGAGACAGAAAGATTCTTGTTAGCTTGTCAGGATAGCGTAATTAATACTCTCGTATATCGCGTTCAATTTACGGGAAATCAAGGACACTATGCTCAAGGTGCTACAAAAATATACCGGTTTGCCGAGACTCATCAAAACAACTAGTGGTGAAAATGCAGAAAGCGGTAGTCCTTGGGTCCCTTCGTCTTTTGAGGCAATTGAATTTGGCCGAAGATCACTGACCGAGCGGATGAAAGGAGTGATCTTCTCAGCGACCAGTACTTTCGCGTAATGTACTGAGTGTGTCGGAGACCCAGGGACGTTGCGACGAATTTTTTACACATAATAATACTAATAATAACCATTTCTGTTTGCTTCACGTGTTGTCCTATTATACTTTGTCCAATTGAGTGTAAAATAGAGGGTTCGCTTTTAAAGTATCGTACCTCTTATTCATGTACAACATTACTATCTACTGTTTCAACCTTTGAGACATCTATTATCCATTCATATTTTTATTTTTTCACTTACCGTAACTGGTGATAATCTTCTATATCTACTATTTTTCAAAACACTCGAATTAACAGAAACTAGAACACATTCATTCACTAAAATAAAAACAACCACCGACATCAACATTATCGTTGTCTATAGTTACGTGCCGACGAAAGAAGGACTAAAAGAAATTTCTATGAATGAAACGAAACACCTCAATCGACAAAATCCTTTTATAGCCCTAATAGTTTTAATAAATTCCCTAATTTCGTGAATGGGGTGCCATTATTCGGCTTTTAAGGTATTTAAAAGGGATTATTGCCCGGTAGTATAACACCCCCCGTGGGTTCGAAGAAACAATAAAATTATATTCATTCAACAACTTGTTAAATATTGTTTGTCACGGGAGAGAAAATAAAAAGATTATAATAAAATTATAAGTAATGCTGAAATTTCTAGTTTCTAAATAGAAAACCAACATTTTCATTGCTTCGGAGGCTTGAATAGAAATATGATTTTTAAAAGTTAACATTGAGTTAAATATGTGAATATAATACGAAAAATTAATAATTAACGATTTTACAATTTTACATTATCTTGCATTCAAGTTAAAACCATTGTTGAACTAATGTAAGTTGATCTTGTAATACATTAAATTATTGATTGGATCAAACAGTTTTAAATCGTCAGCGAAACGAAATTATCTACATTTAATACTCTCACATTGTTTATAAATAATAAAAAGTAGTGGCTCTAAGTTTGATCCTTGTGGCATCCCTGATGTAACACAATAACTAGAAGAAACTATTATAACAAATATACTGTTGCCTATTATGTCTATTTTTACTTTCCTATCTGCATACAGATATAAGGAAAGTATAGGAATCATGATTTTTTTCGACCTCGAGTTTTCGACGGATTTTTACGTTTTGAGGTCCCCTGAATCCGTTTTGACTATTTTCGCGATGATGTCTGTGTGTGTGTGTATGTGTGTGTCTGTGTGTCTGTGTGTGTGTGTGTGTGTGTGTGTGTGTGTGTGTGTGTGTGTGTGTGTGTGTGTGTGTGTGTGTGTGTGTCTGTATAACGCATAACTCATGAACCGATACACGGAAAAACACCAAATTTCAAACTTAAGCTTTGTTCCAGCGTCTAATGAGCTGATTAGATTTTGGGCAGAGTCGGAACATCTGGGGGGGTACTTTATAGGTGGTCATTTTTATATTTTATGGAATATATCTGTTATTTACGTTTGGGGAAGAAAATTCTTCAAATGAAAGTTACTTCTTATTTTATTATCTATAATTTTTGTTATATACAAAATTTTCCTAAAATGGTCCGTATTCGCGAAATTTTACAAAATGTAAAAACATATTTTTTTTTATAAAAATTGTTCAAACAAAAGTTGTTTGTAATATAATTCTCTATAATTTTTATCCTTTAGATAATTTCTCTAAAATGGACCGTATTCGAGATATTTGAGAAAATGTGTAAATTTCGAAATTTGAAGAAAACTCAAAAACGGATAAAGAAAAAAACATTAAATTTTAAACTTAAGTTTTATTTCGGCCTGACGTGAAATGATTAGATTTTGGACAAAGTCGGAACATCTGGGGGGGTACTTTATGGGAGGCCGTTTTTATATTTTATGGAATATATCTGTTATTTATGTTCGGAGAAAAAAATTGTTCAAATAAAAGTTACTTCTAATATTATTATCTATAATTTTTGCTTAATGTAAAAATTTCCTGAAATGGTCCGTATTCGAAAAATTTGACAAAATGTGCAAAATTCTGATTTTTATGAAAATTGTTGAAATAAAAGTTGAGCGATATCGATCTCTATAATATTTGTTCATACATGATTTTTTTTAAATGGACCGTAATGGAAAAATTGTAGGAAAAGTGCTAAATTTAAATTTTTCAGTATTTTCATTTTCAATGAATATCTATAGAAAAATGTTTCGCGGTAGATGTATGTGGACAATGTATATATTTAGTTTATCCTCTAAACATTTATAGAGATGCTGCAATAGGTTGTACAAAATAACCGGAAAAAGCCTGTAATAACTAGATAGGAAAGTCATGTGTTGAACACATCAGATTTTTATGTATGAGAGAGTATTAAAATAATAAATCGTTCGTAATCCATAGGCATACCACTTCTTTTAGTAGACAGTTAAAATATTTTTTGAAGTTATTCCTCGAGTATATACTTATATTTTCACCTAATTAACATGCTTATAACTTCTAAACAGCTGAAGGTAATAAAGTGCAATTTTTTCTAAAATGTTTTATTTTTCCACAAGGTATGTTAAGAACATTGTGTCAAACGGTTTATGTAGGTATAAGGGTTTAAACTTTGACTTTTAAACAACGTTACGTTCATAAATAATAATTTTAATATAAAAACTACTTCCTACCTACAAATCCAAATCAGAATCGAAATCAGAAGATAAACTGTCGCAACCAATATTTACAATGAGTGGCTCGATCATTTCATCAGTAATATTGTCCAACTTCCACATTTTCTCTTCGTCTTTAATCGTATGATTTACTGCCTTTTCCCAGTTTTCAGGCTTCACATTAATTATTTACAGCCTCCAAAAACAACTGTTTAACATCACTCATTTTAAAAGAATTATTTTTCTTGAAACTTCTCCCTTTATCTGTGCCCATATCAGTTCAATCGGGTTTATTTCGCAATGATATGGTGGTGATCTAACCACCGTCATCCCACGATTTTTTGCAATTTCATCAATTTAATATTTTTTGAATTTCTCTTTATGAACGGAACACAAATGATACAGTTCTTTTCTCACAGAACCGGGATGGAACTTAATATTCTTTGAATTTAGCCAATTCTGTAAATCTTTTTTTAACCACTTGGTTGTGGGCATTTTTTCTATAAGTCTCGAGTGATAACTTGCATTATCCATTACTATTATACAGTTCTGAGGAAGAAGATCTATAATTTGTTCGAACCACTCTTTAAAGACATCAGCATTCATGTCCTCATGGTAGTCACCGGTACGAGTAGATTCAAAAATCAATAAACCACCTTTAACAAAACCGTTTGAACTACCGATGTGTACTATTATTAGTCTGCGCCCCTTTCCTGATGGTGGATTTAAACCAGTAGATAAATTATTTAAAAAAGCCTGTCTTCGACTTATAACAGTTTCATCTTGCCAAAATTTATTTGGTTTATGTCCCTCGTTGATCCATGTTTCATCTAAATAAAATATATTTCTTCTTTGGTTTCTCATTTCTTTTATAGTCCTTTGGTAATTACTTCTCCATACTACAATATCGTTTCTTTCTATTAAAATAGACTTTCTGGAATGCTTTTTCCATAGAAAACCTATTTCTTTTAAAAGTTTCCATAGTGTGCTTCGACTCATTTCAGGGTAATCCTTATCATCTCTAACCGTGGTAAGAACTTTGTCTACTGTCGGAAATTCTTTTCTAAAGAAGAACGCATGTACTTTCCTTAGAAGTCTTTCTTTCAAAAGATTTTTTAATTGAAATTTTGGTTTTCCTGGAGCTTTACGTTCTGTTTGAAACTCGCCACATTTATCTTCTTTAACAACTCTGTAAATCGTAGATTTCCCAACACCAAGCGTACTACTAACGAATTCCACTGTGTCATCAACACTTTTACATAAATGTTTGTCTATAAATGATTTAAAACAATTAAATAATAATGTTTTTTCATTAACTGTTAAAGGACCGATTTTTTGTCGTTTACGCGGCCCTTCCAAATTTTCCATGATCACACTAGAATTCACACTGCACCTTGCAAGTTGCAACTAAACGACATTTAGTAAACTGTCAAGAATACACAACTTGGACTTCCGTACTAAATGGAAAACCTATAATCGCATTTTCGGTGAAATTTGTTGGGAAGGTATTTATCTACTTATAATTCGATTACTGTAAGAAATTCTTGGAATTAAAATAAAACAAAATTGGCAAATAAGTACTTATTGAAAATAATCTTAAGATACGGCTATGTAATCTTTAATACACAGGGCTTTTGGCATGTCCAAACCTTTTTCTGTTGTAAGAAATGAATCGAAAGTATTTAAAGTGTGTAGGTACAGTTTTATTAATAATAAAACTCAGTAATATTAGTCTTAGCGCTTTCAGCCTGTTAGGCCATCATCAGAGACATCGTCAGGAAATGTAGAAGAAGCATGAAAATTAATATATCACTAAATTAAAAAAGGGTTGCCACAATACGGTCCCTGTTCTCCACCATAACTTGAGGCTGGTTGCAATTTAAGAAAAAACGTGGGGGCTCATCCCAACACGTAGAAATAAACAATCTCACCCGTTCAAAGATAGAGAAAGATCATCTGTACAGCTTATGTTTATAAAGGACCAATAAAAGACCCAAAACTTGTAATAGCTCAGGTACATTTATTACAATTTTAGGAAATATTTAGATTATTCTATAAAAATATTTAAAATGACCGTACTAATTTATGCATAAAAATAGACATAGAAAAGGTGTGGTTTCAGGAAAGCGAGTTTCGAGTAAGAGGCGAGCTCTTCTTCCTCATTCTCCATGAAGCTTCCATTTGGTTTCTTTAATGCCATAACTGTATCAACTCTCCCTTTTGCCAGAATTTTCTAAAGTTGTTATGTTTAGATTTCTTTATTGTAGCGCCTCGGTGTAGTTCTGCCAATCTCCGCTGTGCTTGACCCTATTAGAGAGCTTCCTCACTTCGGATCGTTTGACAGATGACGGTTCCACCAAGAAGCATCTCTACTAGTTCTATTTTTTTGAATTCATATGCCTCAAGTATTGCCCCATTTAGTTCTTCGAGATCGCTTTCCAGAGCAAGTGAGTGCCCGGGTTCCTTTTTTGTCTGGATACGTGCTAAATTTTATTTTAAAATTTTGTTGTATTTGTCCCAGTCCGTTTTTCCAGGATTCCTCCTGAGGATCGTATCAGGAATGTCGCTCTCTAACGTAAACACAATTATCCTGTGATCCTTTTTTGTATAAATGTGTTATTTTTTTATCAGTAATTTTATTTCTTTTTTTTTTAACAAGCAATAACAGTAAAATGTAAAGTAGATTATTGAATACTCCTCACCAGATTGTATTTTGAATTTAGCGGACTCTATCCAAACCCTGTTAAATGTCCGAGCTATTCAGAATATAAAGTTTTAATGTATTACTCAGTATTGAATTTCCGAGCTTGTTTTTGCTTATAATTAAGTTAATAATGAAGAATTTATGTGCATTTCATTAAAAAATATACATTTTTTTATTATTTGCTTGAGTATTTTTATTATCATTACTTGCCTAGGTAAAAAAATGTTATTTTTCATTAATGATTGAAATAATTAATGGTGATTTCTCAAGTTAATAATTAAAAATAATAATTACTTCTTAACAAAGTTATTGTACTTTGTACTATCTACTACTTATCTTCACAACATTCTTGTCAGTAAGATTTAGACGCTAAACATACATTTACATTTTATTTCTTATTTTGCATGCATAAATTACTTCTGTGGACGCGGCGAAGCAAGCAACGCCGTGTTGTCATATCCAAGAAAGTCTAGATTTTGAGGATTTTTCTTTAAGTCCCAATGTTGTTAAATTCAAGGAAAAACCAGCTTCAGAGTAATCAACATAAATCTGTTCATAAAAGATATATGATATATCGCGAAAAATGATTCAACTATACTAATTATTGGAGCTATTTATTTGTGATATCATACCTTTAAACAAATATGTATGCGATGCAATATGAACATATTTATTTATGTTTGTTATTGGCATTCTATAGTAGGATGTAAATAATCATCTGGTGTAGATGTATGTAATTTAGTTAATTTAAATTCAGTGAAGTTGGTTTTACGCTAATATCAAGAGAAGGCGATTAAAATTTATTATTTATTAGATTTGTTGGAATTTGCAATTTTTCTGTTAGAATGGGACAAAACTGGTTATTTTCTTGTGGACTTTCCATAATTTTATATATGTTAAGTGTATTGGAGTGCTATAATGAAAATAGTAAGTTTATTTAACAGATCTTTAATTAGAATTATTATTCCAAGATTCGGAGAATAATTTAGTAATTATTTTAGATTTTTCTCGCATATTTATAAGTTATAGGTACTACAAGGTCATCTAAACAATTTCTTAAATAGTTTTTCTCATTGTTATTTGCTAAATTAAAATATTTGCAATCTTTTGGTGTTATAAATATTGAAAACAAGACCACTACAGTTTTTAACATATCTGTCATTAAAAGTGACACTTTTAGCGATAGTATTGTTTTAAAAGTCGATGTTTAGAACGAAATGTGATAATAGTGTATTCTTTTACGCGTAATGAAAACTTAATGTCGAAGAGTCAAACACTATCATTTTTCTACGTTCTTCATTAGGTAGGTATACCATTTTCTAATTAAAAAAAACGTAAACAAATATTGTATTTTGAAATAAACAACTGACAACAGATAGCTAGATGTGGACTGTTTTAAATTTTACACTATTTTTATGAGTTTATTTTGTTTTTAGTTTAATAAAGTGAAGTAAACACATTTAGATTTTAATAAGCATTTTATTGTTTTATTATTAATAGTTATTATGAGTTGCCAAAATATTTTATTTATAGTGCTTCTGGTTTCTAGTTAATAATAATTGGCAAAGAAAAACATACAAAAAACATTTGTAATGAAAAATATTAATATATTTATACCTCGTAAAACACTAAATAAAAAATTTATACAAGGTGTTACAGAATGTAACTGTAGGTGTGAGGCACTTGGATGTTTCGAAATCATCCGTTACTATAGTCTATTTTTATGTATGAGAGAGTATTAAAATAATAAAGCGTTCGTAATCCATAGGCGTAACACTTCTTTTAGTAGACAGTTAAAATATTTTTTGAAGTTATTCCTCGAGTATGCACTTATATTTTCACCTAATTCACCTGCTTATAACTTCTAAACAGCTGAAGGTAAAAACGTGCAATTTTTTCTAAAATGTTTTATTTTTCTACAAGGTATGTTAAGAACATTGTGTCAAACGGGTTATGTAGGTATAAGGGTTTAAACTTTGAATTTAAACAATGTTACGTTCATAAATAATAATTTTAAAATAAAAACTACTTCTTACCTACAAATCCAAATCAGAATCGAAATCAGAAGATGAACTGTCGCAACCAATATTTACAATGAGTGGCTCGATCATTTCATTAGTAATATTGTCCAACTTCCACATTTTCTCTTCTTCTTTAATCGTATGATTTACTGCCTTTTCCCAGTTTTCAGGCTTCACATTATTTACAGCCTCCAAAAACAACTGTTTAACATCACTTATTTTAAAAGAATTATTTTTTCTTGAAACTTCTCCCTTTATCTGTGCCCATATCAGTTCAATCGGGTTTACTTCGCAATGATATGGTGGTGATCTAACCACCGTCATCCCACGATTTTTTGCAATTTCATCAATTTCATATTTTTTGAATTTCTCTTTATGAAGGGAACACAAATGATACAGTTCTTTTCTCACAGAACCGAGATGGAACTTAATATTCTTTGAATTTAGCCAATTCTGTAAATCTTTTTTTAACCACTTGGTTGTGCGCCCCTTTCCTAAAGGTGGATTTAAACCAGTAGATAAATTATTTAAAAAAGCCTGTCTTCGACTTGTAACAGTTTCATCTTGCCAAAATTTATTTGGTTTATGTCCCTGGTTGATCCATGTTTCATCTAAATAAAATATATTTCTTCTTTGGTTTCTCATTTCTTTTACAGTCCTTAGGTAATTTCTTCTCCATACTACAATATCGCTTCTTTCTATTAAAATAGACTTTCTGGAATGCTTTTTCCATAGAAAACCTATTTCTTTTAAAAGTTTCCATAGTGTGCTTCGACTCATTTCAGGGTAATCCTTATCATCTCGAACCGTGGCAAGAACTTTGTCTACTGTCGGAAATTCTTTTCTAAAGAAGAACGCATGTACTTTCCTTAGAAGTCTTTCTTTCAAAAGCTTTTCTAATTGAAATTTTGGTTTTCCTGGAGCTTTACGTGCTGTTTGAAATTCGCCACATTTCTCTTCTTTAACAACTCTGTAAATCGTAGATTTCCCAACACCAAGCGTACTACTAACTAATTTCACTGTGTCATCAACACTTTTACATAAATGTTTGTCTATAAATGATTTAAAACAATTAAATATTAATGTTTTTTCATTAACTGTTAAAGGACCGATTTTTTGTCGTTTACGCGGCCCTTCCAAATTTTCCATGATCACACTAGAATTCACACTGCATCTTGCAAGTTGCAACTAAACGACATTTAGTAAACTGTCAAGAATACACAACTTGGACCTCCTTACTAAATGGAAAACCTATAATCGCATTTTCGGTGAAATTTGTTGGGGAGGTATTTATCTACTTATAATTCGATTACAGTAAGAAATTCTTGGAATTAAAATAAAACAAAATTGGCAAATAGGTACTTATTGAAAATAATCTTAAGATACGGCTATGTAATCTTTAATACACAGGGCTTTTCGCCTGTCCAAACCTTTTTCTATTGTTCTGTACAGCTTATGTTTATAAAGGACCAATAAAAGACCCAAAACTTGTAATAGCTCAGGTACATTTATTACAATTTTATGAAATATTTAGATTATTCTGTAAAAATATTTAAAATGACCGTACTAAGTTTTGCATTAGAAATGCTGTTTTATTACTCTCTCATACATAAAAATAGACTATAAATATTATTTTTTTATTAGGAATTTATTGTATTTTGCAAAGCCTTACTGTTTATAATCTATACTTTAAATCTATAAATATTTTCCTCAAAAAAAAATCATGAAGTAATACACCCTATAAAACATTATTCGCCTTCAAAGCGGATAAATCAATAATCCATGTATAAAATAATAAGAGAGTCAAACAGATTGCATACATTGCAGCACCGAGAGAGGCGCATAGAGAGTCGAGGGACTCTGTTTACTTTTTGAAAAACCATAACATGACCAATTATTTATTGCTATATTTTTAATAATTTAAAAATATGGGGAGAGCGCTCTTACCTTGTCAGGCGAAACCTTTACAAAGAATATTTTTTTTTTCGTTTAGGCGTTCGTTTTTTGTCAAATGAAAAGTATATTTCTAAAAGAAGATATTTAATTAAATTTTTGGACTGTTGAAACCGAGATATTTACGTTTAAATTTTTTTTTTTTTTTCGACCATAAGGGCTAATGCAAATGATTGTATTTAATTAATTGTAAAAAATACTTTCTACAAAGTCCTAATTGTGCATTAGACCAAAAAATTAGCATTTTTTATTCTCTATACGGTGGTATCAATATCTTTTGTCTAATTTTGTATTACCTCCGGAATAAGGGTAAACTTATCATGTACTTTCGTCCCTGAAAAATTCAGTTGACAATAAAGTTTGGAGGTAAAGTCAAAATAAGTTTTAATGTACACTATACTATATTTTGTGGAACATATAACTAATGTCAATAATTTTTTCCAATCGTAAGAAAAAAATCCGTTATAGATCCAATTTTTTGGCACGCACTGTATATCGTTTGTTGATATTTTACGAAATACATTGTTTCAAACAGAAAACTTTCCTGTGTTCAACAGATTTTTTTTAGTTACAGCCCCCTGTGCCAACGTTTCCATCAAGCAAAACACCTGCGTCAACGTCTTCTACAGCCAAGAGGATTTTTATAAAATTCACTGCTTCGATTATCTGCCGGAATACAATGCATCTCTAGGAATAATCACCGACAAAAATGATACGATCGTTTTCAAGGACAGCGAGAAAAACCGCGAATGTTTCGACATTTACAGACCAAATTCAACGAGCACGTCAACTCATTGTCTGAACGTAACATACACGAATTACTGTCTAAAGGAAAATGTGACGATAGTAAATTCAACTAGAAGCCAAGGTGATAAGCAGTATTGCAAAACGGATAAAGAACAGAGGACGTTCGGTATACTTAGCGACGATTTAAATTTCGTATTGAGATGCGTTATTTCTGGTATAAATGAACTGTTCAACATTGATAAACTTTTAGAATCGCGGTTTTTATTTCATGTTCCTAATAATTATCCTGATCGAGAATAGAAAAACGTTACGCTTCATGAATCATATTTATGTTTCTTTAATTCTCACTATACGTTCCGTAAAATGATACTTTAATAAAAGATTTATGGTATTTAAAATTGTTTTATTGGATATTATTGCTTATAAACTTAACGTTGGATAGTAGGAGCTCCAAATCATCATGATCAAATGTAAGGAAGACAACGATATATCGATGTTTTGTAACAGTATCAACTATAAAAATACAAAAACAGAGAAGTCATATACTGTCATCCTAGCTAGAAAGGTTCTATCTGAAATTTTTTTGTTTCGAAATAATCTAATTTTTAACTATTTTTAGCAGACATATTTATTACCTTTTAAACCTTTTTTGTGTAACTTTTTATAGTCTATTTTTATGTATGAGAGAGTAATAAAACAGCATTTCTAATGCAAAACGGTCATTTTAAATATTTTTACAAAATAATCTAAATATTTCCTAAAATTGTAATAAATGTACCTGAGCTATTACAAGTTTTGGGTCTTTTATTGGTCCTTTATAAACATAAGCTGTACAGAACAATAGAAAAAGGTTTGGACAGGCCAAAAGCCCTGTGTATTAAAGATTACATAGCCGTATCTTAAGATTATTTTCAATAAGTACCTACCTATCAGAGTTGGGTCGAATACTGAAATCCGGTATTCGAATACGAATCCTGAATACTGTATTCTAAATTGTATTCGAATAATCAATATTCGAATACAAAGGAAAAACAGTATTTGAATACCGCTGTATTCGAATACCTGGATTCATTTACATATGAATACTTTATGAATATTCCAACTACAAATAACATTTGCGCACATAAAGCTTGATTATTATTTATGTAGTTAATTTATAAAAATATAAAAAGAATTAAAAATCTATGTTAAATAAAATTTGAAATATAATTTTTTGATACACAGTGTCACAGTGAGGTTAAATAAAATAACTGTTTATTAAAAAACATTTGCTGATTTTTATTTCTTAAAGTTTTATTAAATTAAATTAAATTAAAAAATAAAATAATGAAAAATTTAAAATAAAATTCTTTGGTATACCGTCAGATAAAAACACAAACTTATTGTTTAATAAAAAATAAACAATTCCCATTACCTATAACCTATACCCTACAACATATTTACTTATACAGAGTGTCCCACGAGATACGCCTCGGACCATAACTCCATAACGGTGCAATTTTCGAAAACTAATTTTAAAAGATGGCTTTTTTGAATATACATAAAAATTGCACCGTTATGGAGTTATGGTCCGAGGCGTATCTCGTGGGATATATAATAAATAAAACTTAAAATAGTTTCTTTGGTACATTCATTGGAAATTCGAACACAATAAGGTAACACAATAGAATTGCTTAGCAAAAGAAGCTATCCTTGAAAAATAATCTTAAATAATAAATAACTTAAAATAAATTCTTTTTGTTTTAAATAAAATATAATATAACATTCATAACGTCGCACTAGTACTTGGATATCAGAAAGAAGACATCAATCAAAAAGCATTTCCTATCCCGTTTGCCTTTAACAAAACCAACATTTCAAAAAGATCGCAATATTCATAGAAATAATCAAACAGTATTCGAATACCGGGATTCGAATACCGGGATTCGAATACAAAGTGGGTATTCGAATACTAGGATTCAAAAATGGTATTCATGTTTAATACCAAGCACAAAAGAAAAATAAAAAATGAAAAAATACAAAGATGGCGTCTGGAACTTTCATGTTATAAATTTGATATAGTTTATCGTCCTGGACCTCAAAATACAATTTGTGATACACTCCCTCGGATTTGTGCTGGTTCTGGAGCACAATCCACTCTATATAGTTTACACACATCTTTGTGTCATCCAGGGATAACACGGATGGTTCACTGGATAAAATCCAAGAATTTGCCATACTCTGTAGAAGAAATTAGGAAAATGACGTTATCTTGTAGAATCTGTGCTGAAATAAAACCTCGTTTTTTCAAACAAACAGGTACCCTAATCAAATCATCCACTGCTTTTGAAAGGCTCTCGTTAGATTTTAAGGGACCTTTGCCTTCTTCATCCTTTAACAAGTACTTACTAACTATAATCGATGAATACTCTAGATTTCCCTTTGCTTTTGCCTGTCCAGATACATCCACTTCTCAAGTAATAAAACACTTATCTAAAATTTTTGCAATTTTTGGTTACCCTTCCTTTATTCATACCGACAATGGAAGTTGTTTTACTTCTACAGAATTTAAGGATTTTCTTAATTCAAGAGGAATTGCCTCGAGTCACTCTACCCCATATAATCCAAGAGGCAACGGCCAAATTGAAAGGGAAAATGGTACAATATGGAAGACGATACAGTTAGCGTTAAAATCCAAAAATTTAAAAATTTCTGCGTGGGAATGTGTGTTAAATGAAGCTCTCCATTCAATTAGGTCTTTGTTATGCACCGCAATAAACGCCACTCCACATGAAAGAATGTTCAACCACTGTAGACGTTCAGTTAATGGACAATCTCTTCCCTCATGGTTAGCTGATACGGGCCCTATACTATTAAAGAAGCAGGTTCGTAAATCCAAGTATGAACCTATTGTGGAAGAAGTCGAACTATTAAAAAGTAATCCTGAATTTTCGTATGTAAGAATGTCCGATGGAAAAGAAATAACGGTCTCAAATCGTCATTTAGCACCAAGAGGGCATATTATTGAGAACAGTTCACTTGAAGAAATTGAAGATGATAGTTGTTTGTTCCCTTCTTCTACTAGTGTTCCCTTGACTCCCACTTTAGTGCCTACATCCACTGAAAACTTGAATTCTCCATCGGCTACTCCAGGAAACTTTGTTGAATTGAGTGAAACGGTCCCTACTTCTTTAGAAAATCAAATTTCGAAATCTATCTCTAGGAGTATTTTACCATCTGAAGAAAGTCGCCCAGCTAGAAACAGAAAACCTCCTAAATACCTCGAAGAATATGAAAGATTCTGAAGAGGGGGATAATGATATGAAAATATGAGTTCCCCTTGTATAACTTTATTAATTGTATTACCCCTTATATATGTTATTTATCTTTGTCATTAGTTGTCATCATTTATGTGAAGTTTTTGCTGAATAAAGCCAATTAGTTCTTGGTTCACATAAGTTTATAACACTGACTAAAAAAGTATTCAGTCGAATACCGAATACAGAAAACACAAATGTATTCGAAGAGTATTCGAATACCAGCCAAATGTATTCTGAATAAGATTCAGAATACCGGGTATTCGAATACTACCCAACTCTGCTACCTATTTGCCAATTTTGTTTTATTTTAATTCCAAGAATTTCTTACAGTAATCGAATTATAAGTATATAACAAATTTCACCGAAAATGCGATTATAGGTTTTCCATTTAATAAGGAGGTCCAAGTTGTGTATTCTTGACAGTTTACTAAATGTCGTTTAGTTGCAACTTGCAACGTGCAGTGTGAATTCTAGTGTAATCATGGAAAATTTGGAAGGGCCGCGTAAACGACAAAAAATCGGTCCTTTAACAGTTAATGAAAAAACATTAATATTTAATTGATTTAAATCATTTACAGACAAACATTTATGTAAAAGTGTTGATGACACAGTGGAATTAGTTAGTAGTACGCTTGTTGTTGGGAAATCAACGATTTACAGAGTTGTTAAAGAAGAGAAATGTGGCGAGTTTCAAACAGCACGTAAAGCTCCAGGAAAACCAAAATTTCAATTAGAAAATCTTTTGAAAGAAAGATAAGGATTACCCTGAAATGAGTCGAAGCACACTATGGAAACTTTTAAAAGAAATAGGTTTTCTATGGAAAAAGCATTCCAGAAAGTCTATTTTAATAGAAAGAAGCGATATTGTAGTATGGAGAAGAAATTACCTAAGGACTATAAAAGAAATGAGAAACCAAAGAAGAAATATATTTTATTTAGATGAAACATGGATCAACGAGGGACATAAACCAAATAAATTTTGGCAAAATGAAACTGTTACAAGTCGAAGACAGGCTTTTTTAAATAATTTATCTACTGGTTTAAATCCACCATCAGGAAAGGGGCGCAGACTAATAATAGTACACTTCGGTAGTTCAAACGGTTTTGTTAAAGGTGGTTTATTGACTTTTGAATCTACTCGTACCAGTGACTACCATGAGGACATGAATGCTGATGTCTTTAAAGAGTGGTTCGAACAAATTATAGATCTTCTTCCTCAGAACTGTATTATAGTAATGGATAATGCAAGTTATCACTCGAGACTTATAGAAAAAATGCCCACCACCAAGTGGTTAAAAAAAGGTTTACAGAATTGGCTAAATTCAAAGAATATTAAGTTCCATCCCGGTTCTGTGAGAAAAGACAGGGTTACCAGGTTTTCCCCCTATTTCCCCTAAAATCCTCTGTCTGTCCGTCATCTCTTCCAAAAACCTGGTAACCCTGAGAAAAGAACTGTATCATTTGTGTTCCCTTCATAAAGAGAAATTCAAAAAATATGAAATTGATGAAATTACAAAAAATCGTGGGATGACGGTGGTTAGATCACCACCATATCATTGCGAAGTAAACCCGATTGAACTGATATGGGCACAGATAAAGGGAGAGGTTTCAAGAAAAAATAATTCTTTTAAAACGAGTGATGTTAAACAGTTGTTTTTGGAGGCTGTAAATAATGTGAAGTCTGAAAACTGGGAAAAGGCAGTAAATCATACGATTAAAGAAGAAGAGAAAATATGGAAGTTGGACAATATTACTGATGAAATGATCGAGCCACTCATTGTAAATATTGGTTGCGACAGTTTATCTTCTGATTTCGATTCTGATTTGAATTTGTAGGTAAGAAGTAGTTTTTATATTAAAATTATTATTTATGAACGTAACGTTGTTTAAAAGTCAAAGTTTAAACCCTTATACCTACATAACCCGTTTGACACAATGTTCTTAACATACCTTGTGGAAAAATAAAACATTTTAGAAAAAATTGCACTTTTTTACCTTCAGCTGTTTAGAAGTTATAAGCAGGTTAATTAGGTGAAAATATAAGTGTATACTCGAGGAATAACTTCAAAAAATATTTTAACTATCTACTAAAAGAAGTGATACGCCTATGGATTACGAACGCTTTATTATTTTAATACTCTCTCATACATAAAAATAGACTATAGAAAGTAATTGAAGTACCAATTAATTCTAAGGTTTCAAAAACCTAATTGAATTAAGGTAATTCAATTACTGAAAAGTAATTTAATTACATTTTCAACTCTTTTAAATTCAATTATTTGACAGCTCTGGTTATAGGTAAATATACTTTTTTAGCATCGTACAACTCCCATATTAATAAAAATCTAGTGACCTTTGAAATATACCTTATATAAATACACTTTTTACTACTTTTGTACAACCGTTCACTATTTTAGCTACTACTGAACCTTTGCAATATACTCTTTCATGCAATCGTTCAATGTTTTCGATTTTAGTGAACCTTTGAGATATTCCTTATATTCCCTTTATACCTACTTTTGTCCAATTTTTTAGTGTTATGGTATCACACATGTGTAATTACCTATATTATTAATACCTACATCTACTTGTAATAATAATAATTTTACAATTTTTTATTTTGTTTTATTCAGATTTTACTATATCAGCAATAAACTATTTTACATATAGTGTATCCAAGAATGGACATACTTGTAAAAATATTTATTTTAAATTATTCAAAAAAGTCATTTCTCAACGTTAATCGTATTTATTTAACAAGCAGAAGAAATTATGAAGAAGTACTTTTTTTAAATTTAAAATAAGTATTTTTAAATCCTTCCAAGCATTACAGAAGCAAAACTGAAAGAGAGTATATTGGTTGGCCCACAGATCCGTAAAATTATGAAAGATTCTCAGTTTGAAAGCCTTCTAATGAAAAATCTGCTTGGTCAAAATGGTTGTAGAAGAATTTTTGGGAAATAAAAGTAGTGAAAGTTACAAAGAAATTACTACAGATTTATTGGAAAATTTTCAACAGATAGGAGTAAACATGTCATTAAAGATTCATTTTTTGCACTCGCATCTAAGTATTTTCCATGAAAACTTAGGGAATATGAGTGACAAACAAGGGGAACGTTTTTACCAAGATTTAAAGGTTTTTGAAGAATTACATCAAGGATTTTGTGATGAAAACATGTTAGGAGATTACTGTTGTCCATTATAAGAGAAACTGATTCAAATAAATATAAAAAGAAAGCAAAAAATAAACATTTTTAATTTTTTTAGTATTAATACCAAAATTATGTAATCTAGTTAAGTAAATAAATATTTCTTAAACTATACATAACAGTTTTTTTTTTATTTTTTCGGGATAATTCCCTTTATATATATTGGCGGAAAAGTAATACTTTGCGCACTTGTTGGAAAAAAAATATTCATTTAGTTTGTTTAAAAAGTCTTTTTAAATTGCTACAAAGCAACGGTAACTTTAAAACCCGAAATTAAAAATGTGAACGACACCGATCCTAAAATGTTGATTTACAACCTGGTTAATGCCATAAAACCTTAAATATTGATACTGGTGAGTAACGCTTATCGGCTTAATTGAGGAAATGGGGTGTTCACTGCCAATAGATTAGAAGGTACCTTTATGGGCGTCTACCTGTGAAGAGTTTTACGATTTGCAAGTAATGAAAGCAGGTTATTTTTTTAACCAGTAGAAACTTGCTACTTGTCACAAGTAAGTATCTGACATTTAAATAATTTTATATATTTTTTTTAAACAGGTCTGAAATTTTATACAGGAATTCATTTAAAGTAAGTACCATCAAAGAAAATCCAGTTATTTGTCTTAATAATTATATTTAGTAACATCTAGCAAATTCTTATCACTGCTGCTCTCGTTTGGCAAAGTATTCACCTCCTTGACATTCTGCTTGAAATTTATGATGAATCTCATTTCTTTCTGGAATTCTTCTTTAAAAGATATTTTCTCTTTCTTTGATCTTCTGTAAATGTAGCAACTAAATTCCGCTAGCGATCCCAACACACCTAGAATTGATCCAACGAAAAGAACCAGGAATACGCCACCAACATTTTGTAAATCCAAAGCTGTTGCTTCGCTATTTTCTTTTTTGGCCTAAAATATATTAATTATTGATTTTATATAAATGAATATTTAATATTATAATACATCAACCAATGACAATAATCTTTTGTTCCAACAAAACCAATCAACACAAAATGTATTTGAAAACACTACATACTGCAGTGTTTTCATGGCTCAGATTTCTGGACAGATCAGTTTTCAACTGTCGCCTTAAACTTCCTAACGTAAATAAAGAAACTTACAGAACATTTTCCTCCCCCTCTCTTTTCCTTCCACCATTTTATTTTACGTTCAGTTAAGACACCCTTTTCTTGCAACTGAAGAATAGCAGTACTAATTTCATTTCTATAAGGAGAAACTAAAAAAAAAAATAGATGAAAAACAAGATTAAGCTCCCATAAAGAAAATATTTACATTTCTTCATAGCAATGCCATATCCTTTATCATCAAGTAGTCCACCAACTTGAGCTAGAGCGCAATGTCTTTCTGTGACGTATTCTATAGTCGTAGACTCCATCAAAAACGCATAATTTTCAGTTTCGACCTTCTTCACACCCGCCTCGTTATCGTCTAACATTAAATCGGGATTGTGCACCATGTAACTCCAAATTTTCTTATATTTCGTTAAATTTGAATCCTAGAAATTGACATCTGACTTTTGTGTCTACTGTTCCATCTTAAATCTTACCCTAAAATAATTTGCTGTAGCCCCTTTATTTTTCGCGCCGAATTTGATTTCTTTTTGCTCGGCCAATTCATCGATATCATTGAATGGCGTAACGAGCGTGGTAACCGTGAGGAACGCTGCCAAATTGGCGGTGTAAGAAGAGACCATGGTCAGCACGAAGAACCACCAGAAACCGGAAACGGTTCGCGTTGAAATCGATCTACAAATCAAAATATATATTTACTATTAGAAGGAATCTACAAAAATTACATATCGGTAAGAAATGTATAACTTCGAGTACAATGTATTAAGATCTAAATGATCATCTTGAAAGCTATATCTATCGTTCTGTACGAGTATACTATACTACTTAAGACTTACATTGGAGCTAGTTCGGAACCCTGTTGCATCAACGCTCCTAAAATGAACCAGAAGCTGTTTCTGAATGAAAATTGGTTGATCAGATATTGGGGTTCCTCCACGCATGGATATGGATTTTGCCATTCGCTTGGAGACAATCTTCCCATTATAAATATGGCGATCGACACTATAAGATATGACACGCCTAACAGTAACCACACTGTAAAGGAAAATGGCGAGACAAACATAAACAAGCTTGGCGGAACTGGTTCTGGTTTTCTATAGAGGATGCTGATACCTGCAAATTTATTTTTAATATTTACTGTACAAGATATCAAATAAAATTAGATGTATTTGGATACAATCGAAAAATATTCAAACCTAGGTCGCAGTAAATTTATTAATACAGTTTTATAGTGTTGCAGGGTCTTCATCAAGCCTGGAAATAAAGAGATTGAACTAGCAGGTGAGGGGGGAAACTACAAAAAGGTTAAACAAACCAAATACAATAAATTGAAGTTACCAGAATCTTTGATAAACAATTTTTATTATATTACGAATAACTTCTTGAGTCAAATGTGTTAATTTAGAGTCAGTAGATCCTTAAGAGCAGATGATTGTTGCAGTAAAAACAGGAGGAGGGGGTGAAATGGGAAAGGGGATGTTAAGGATCGTGGTTAATGAAATACATTCTTAGTTGGTGGTGTCAAAATGGAAATAAAAGACAGATCACCAACTGGTGGATAGAAAATTTTGTCATGACCAAAGTTTCTATCAAATAAATAAACTGTTGTTCAAAATAAGTGAACAGGTTATTAGGCATAACGCAAGTTTTAAACATATAAATAAACTGTTGCTCAAAATTATTAAACATTTGAGAGTAATTATTTAAGATGCATACACGCTGGTGAAGCTAAGAGTGCACTAAGATGGAGTTTCCATATTGGTAGATGAAAAAATCTTGTCTCAAAGTCTGACATACTTGGAAGGGCGTCAAAATATGCAGCACCATTGACACTTTCTGAAAATTGATAATTATCTTCAAGAGAGTAAAACTTTGAAGTATTTTTTGATTGTATCTAATACATCTTGTCGCTGTTAAGAATGTATGATCTTCTTCACTTAAATAAATATGTAATTTTTCTTAGGGTACTTAATACCTAAACCTATTGTATTATTGCCTCAGCCATATTTGTACCTTGTACAGTTCCTTGACTGAGTATTAGATCAACTTGTGGTTGTCCAAAAAGTATAAATAAATTCTTTAAGTTCAAATGACGTAAGACTTATTTTTCTTAAAATTTGCCTTCTTTTTATCTTCTTTATCCATGTTGTGGTGTTAGAGTGACCCTATTTTTTATAAGCATTTAGTCGAGAAGTAAACTTAGAACTTATAATTTAGAGGTTTGTTGGAATTGGGAAAATTGCCGGTGAATTGACAGGAAATTGTTGTGTAATGGCTTTGGAATTGTCGGGAAATTAGCAAAATTGCTAGATAATTTGTTATCCTGCTGGATACTTGTAGGATTTGCTAATAAATGCCAGAAAATGGCGCAAATCGCTGGAAAATTGCAGGAATTGATGATGAATTGCCAGAAAATCGCGCGTATTGCTGAATAATCACAAAAACTGCTGGAGAATTGTTAGGAAATTTGCCTTACGGTATATCACTCCTTTTTTGTATTGTATTTAAAGGCCAAGTCAGTGCAATGTAGATATTATAAAGTACTCTTGGTGGGATGTGGACCTAATGGAACTGTTATAAAAATATTAAAATTTTTCTACTTACCCAAATTCATGAACGGTTCTGAAAAATCGACAGCGCTCTCTCGTTCTGAAGTTATGGTCAAATCGGTTATTGCCAGATCAGCTCGCTTAAAATAAATATAAAATACTAGTAGAATTTCTGTTTACTGCCCTTCAAGAAACTGTATGTACATCTATTAACAAAAACTCGAATGAAAAACGTAATAAGGTCATAAACCTATAGTTCTCTGTGGATAGAGAAGTAACAGATTTACTGTCTCATCTAGCATTTATATTAATCTTTGCTAGCCCATTTCCAGGACTGCTGTTTACAGTTTTTTTTTTACTGCATTAGTGTCTTGTCCTTTTTTCCAATTTTCTTATTAACCCAGCAATGCACCAAATGGGTACAACACGTATTTCTAATTAGATCTGTGTGTGTGTATAAAAAATGTACTGGTTGTTAGGAAGAAATTTCAAGCTGTCTACAGATAACAAATTGTTTCTCTACAAGCAAATTCTAAAAGCTTTGGAGCTGTGCCAGCAAAAGTAACAGCAAAGTAATTCATCAACAGAATAAGATACCAAGGAACATCGTTGATGAATATCTGTACTGATTATAACTCTGATCTGATCTTGGTGTATATCAAGGAAATAGTCACCAAGTTCGTTAGAAGTCATAAACAAAGTCTTCTTCAATATGTGAATGTCGAGGTAATCTAGCTTCTAGACATCACAAACCAAATTAGAAGATTTAATTTTGAAATGACAAGAACTAGTGTAATTAATTTATCAGACCGTAGTCAATAAGGTTAGACATAAATAACCCATTGATAGTTTCTCAGATTCGATTGAGTTACCATTACAAGAACTCATTCACTGCAAGCTAGAGATCCAATGTGTCTTGGTATCAGTCTTATTAGGACATTGGTGAGTCGCTGCGTTTTCTTTGTATCTTTTTCTATATTGTCGACAAAGCAAAGACTCTATTTCAGGATTATTCCCTCGATTGACTGCAAGAACTTTTTTAGTACAAGCTAAAAGTCATTTATATTTAGGCGTCAGTCTTATTAGGATATTATTCATTTGTAACTTTTTTTAAAATGTCGATGAAGCAAAGATACTTTAATTAGAGAATTTTGAACACTATAACGCCCGAACCACAGCTTATACAATACAGCTCCACAACTCCGTGTCGGCGTCTTTGATCTGGCGGTCGAGAACCAAGCAAGACGGAATGGTGCTATCTCTGTTAGATTCAAGGGAAAAGTCGGGCCCGGATTAAACAATTTTTTTATTATTGAAAAAATTGAAAACCTTGGCGTAATAAGGTTGGTCACATGCCATATTAAGTAAGTTTTGGGAAATTACATTTTTAATTTGTTTTAAATCTTTCAAATATAATTAAAAAAATTATTTAAATATAAATATTACGAAAAATAGCACATCTTTCGGATAAGAGGTAAAATAATTTATATATGGCTAGTAAAATCCTCGTTAACAAATGTTTTGAGCTAAAACAGTCACTTCACGACAAATTGTGGCTTGGATCCATTTTACACCAAGGGCTTCAATTGTTAAAGAATTGTGTCACGCTCGTGGATGCAAATCAAGTGGTACTCCCGTGTCTCTGGCAAGTGTTACTCTTCGTGCAAAGGGTTTATACCTAGATAAACGAATGCTACCTACGACTGAGGTCTGGGAACTCTATGGTATTTTGGAATTATAAAGAATGTGTGCTTTTGTTTTAACAATATTGGTTATATTTAGATGTATTCTTATTATTTGAAATACAGATTTGTAGAAGTTATACTTTGACAGTTTTTATTAATATAATATATTCAATTTTTATCTGACCATACCGAAGTAGGAAATTTTAAAACTTTATAGTAATGTGAAATTTGAATTACAATATTACAAGATATAACATAATTAGTACTTATTTTAGGTAGGTACTAAATTTGTACTTGGAGAAAGTAATATCGATTTTTACAAGAAAACTTGAAAAGTAAATTAATTTAATTCCTATTTCTGATATAAAACTTAAACCAAGAAAACAAATAAATTGTAGTTTGTTCAACAAGGGTGGATATGATAGCCATATCACACAAAGACGAAGTTTGAGCACGACGTCGTAGGCGGAGAACTCAATCGTCTGATTGTAATATGAACAATCTACTCGATATGGTCAGTATATTTTTTCTACGACCCACTAACGAAAATCTACAAATTTAAAAAATTATTTTAGGTTATTTAGACAAAATAACTAATTTTAAAATAATTTACGAAGTTGACTAATTTATAAAATAAAATAAACATGAAAAATTAATTAGTCCTCGGCCTAGATTCGATCCCGGACTTTTCGCGTGGAAGGCAGATGCTCTGTCTTCATCTTCACCGAAACTTTCAGGACTTTAGTTTTAATACTCGTAATTAAATTAGTATCATGTAGTTTAATTAAAAATTTTTTTTTTTAAATGTGGACACAATAGAAACAAAAATGCTATTATTTATCGAGTCTGCACAAAAATTTTAATGTATATTTAATATCAATAACTAAAATATATATTGACAATTAGTTTAACAGAATTGTCACTTATTTAAAAAGTTTTAAATAATAGGAGTTGGGTGACCAAAATATGAACTGTGATTTGTAGATTTAATTTTGTTAAAGTGTTCTTGCTACCTAAAATGGATATGAAATATATTCGTAGTTGAACACAATAACATACTTTTTCGTTTTGTAGTATGTGCGTAGATTGGCTAATATCCATGCACAGATTACAAAACGAAAAAGTATGCTATTGCCTTCAATTGAACGAATATATTTCATATCCATTCTAGGTAGTGAGAACACTGCAAAAAAAATAAATTCGCCAATCACCGTTCATATTTTGATCAACCGACTGCTATTATTTTTAAAATTTTAAATAAATGACAATTCTGTCAAACTAATTGTCAGTATATTTTTTAGTTATTGAGATTAAACATACAATAAAATAAGTTATTCTTTTGGAAAACGTTAGCATGGATGACTAAAGGGTATTGGGTTAATTAATTCTAAAAGTGTGGTACAAATGTTATTTTTTGTAGCCAATTCTTCAAAATTATTTTGAAATATCTTTTCAATATTGAATATAAGTTCTACAAATTCATCATTTGACAGTTGCAGATTTCCAAATGTATCTGAATTGGCGTTATCATATGCCTTTAAACAGCAATAAAAAGAAAAATCATCTATTTCAACGTGATCTTTGTTATATTTAAGACAGGTATCGCAGGAGTGGATCCGCAAGGCTTTCATTAAAAGGTAACCACACACATACCTGATAAAAATTTTCTGTAGCAATTCGTCTTTACAATAATTTAGGGTGTTAATAATTTCATCATAAAATAAAATACAAGGTGTTCCATTTAAAAAACATACATTTTAATTTGCCAGGCAAAAACGTGACACCCTGTATATCCGAAAATATTTTTAAAATATGTAGGTATTTTTCAAATCCACATAACTTTTATTTAAAACTTTCTTGCGTGTCTACAACAAAATAATGAACAATAACGCACTAATGGGACACCCTGTATAAATTATATTTTTAACAATGAAAATTTCTTATAATGTGGTACTTATCGGTTTGGGTCCTTGGGAAAACTAAAGAATGTTTTCTTGCAGGTATAACCCTTATTAAAACAGCTTTTGACTGCACAAACAGAATGATGTCTTTTTTTTCATTCATTCTACTAACAGCTAAAGAGTCACCAAAATAATAACAGTACCTTTAACTCAAACAAAATCTACGAAATTATAGGCTCCACGAAATTATACAATCAACGAAATTATACGCACGACTCAACACCTTACCTAAGTACACTTCTGAACGCCAAAACCGTCTTTTCCCTTCGAAGGCGGAGCTTAAGCGATGCGCGACGAAATCGACGCAAACCGTTGCCGCCAAGAGAGTGTTTTAGCTGTATTGTTAAGCTGTGCCCGAACGATGAAAGCTATTGATGAAAATAAAATTTTATTTACCCCTTCGATGATTTCATCCATCGTGCAGTCCCATTTCCAGGTAGTTTATGAGATTATTTTGTTATTCGGTAGAATGGGTTGTAAGATCTACCTAAGGGGTTATTGAGCACTCTATTGGAAGCTACCAATATTAATAAAATGATATTTACCCCTGCGATGATTTCGCCCATCATTCCGTCCCATATTCCGGTAGTTTTATTTAAAACACCGTATGATCCATCCTCCTGCTCGACAAATGTATAATTAAAGCCCAAAAGTTTCGATAGTTCCTGTATAACATCGATACCGAACCCTTCGTATCTGTCATTACCAACTAGTTGAGCCGTGGTTTCTGTCAACATTTGATACGGTGGATTCTAAAAAACAAATACTAAAATCATTTAACTAAAATAATTTATTTGGAAACATATAATTTATCAAAATAACAAGGCATTTCGAAAAAATTAGAAAAAAATCATTTGAAAATAGATTTATCTCGATTTCTTTTGGTTGGTGGAAAAACTTTTTGTAGTTCGTTCCCAAAAAGATAGTTTTTCCTCATTGTGACTTTCAAAAAGTAATTTTACAGTGTAGATAAATCGGTTCCAAAATGTTTTTGATCTTAAACGACAATTTGATTGTACTATTATTGCTTTGGAAAAATAGAAAAAAACTAAATCTTACTATACTAATCAAAACGGTAAAGGTCGTATTAAAAACATTATGTTCTTTAATTTTTTGTGGCTTCTGGGGTCTTTGAAATTTAAAACTTCTCATAGTCGAATTCCACTCTCCTATTTTCATTAATCCCCCCAAAGAGAGTTCTAAAATGTCTACCATGAAATTTGTTCGTAAACCTTCCACATCGAACTGGACATTTCCTGATAGACCATCCACGATTTTCTGAAAGAAGATGGATTTTATTTTAGGTATACATTGTGTTTAATATTATTTAGTTGCCAAAAACCAAAACAAAATTTTAAAATGAATAATACCAACTGATTTCATCAAATTGATTATAGAATATCCCTCATTCCAAGTACTGTCACCAGCACATTCCACTGGAACCGCTGCAATCACTTTCTTTTTGCCAACAGTGAGATTATAGAGAGTGTCATAAAATAATTCTACTGCATCGAAAATTAAAGCCGTTTCTAGTTTCGTTCTCCAGGCCTGAAGGAGGATCGGAACATTGGATGAAGTTTCTTTGCGCAGTCGTTGTAAATTATCCGCTATCTCCATAACCTCCGTTAATTCTGGATTCAACATTCGAATCTAAAAGACAAAAAAAAACACAAAAATCCATTAGGTTCGGGCCAAATTCAGTTTGCGTCTTTTCATTTTCTTTTTTATTGGTTATTTACCTGAATTAAATGAAAATGGTGACATCTAAAGACACCTGGCTGTCCCTAAATACGTCTTAGCGATAACCAGCAAAGGCAAGGCGAAACCTAAGTAATGTGGAACCACCCACCCTCCCCAACATTATACAGATACAGAACTAAGTTAGTACGTCTATTAAACTAATTTAAAGAAAAAGTAGCAATCAGAGCAAGATAAAGCAAATCTTAATCAGGTCTCCGAAGCTTTAAAGCTTTTATACAGCTTTCCAAAACTTCTTAAAACAAATAACTTTAACTTACCGCTGTAATATTGGTTCCAGCATATTGAAAAGGAGTTAAATCAACAGTCTGCGTATCCAAATTAGTAATAATGTAGCTGTACGTTTCGGTCATCATTCCAATCTGTTGCAGCTGTTTTAGGATATCCTCAAGACTGTCTATCGAACAGGCTAATACGAAATTCGTTTCTCCCAAGGACTTGACCTCGGTTAGTAAAGACCTGTAGTTTCCGGTGTCAGTAGTCTCCAGTTGTTTCAGGATTATTTTCCTTCCTTAACAAATAACTATTATAAAACAATTTTAGAAGGAAAACGAATAACATAATTTAAAAATAAGGGATAGAAGATATATTTACAAACTAATTACAGTAGAGGATAAGGATAAGAAATCTAGAGAGTAGGGATTGCTAGAATTTATCACTATCCTAATAAAAGAGATAGAAGAGGAGGTATCAACAAACTAATCTAAGCAGATGCATCTAGGACTTGTTAGAAGTTATCATCATCTTAATATCCATTATAGGTTTGATTTACCTATTTGATTGTGGTATTCCAAAAGTGGCCCAACGCTCATCAAACTGTCCTCATCTTCGTACAAAACGATAGCCCTTTTCCAGTCATACGTCCTGATCAAGTCCTTGTACAGTCTGGACAGCACTTGCGGATGAGGATGTATATTTACCAACGTATCATTTCTTTTGATGTGGAAATCGACATGCATTTCTATATGAGGAATTTCCTTGGCATCGCAAACTGATTGAATATATGGCGAGGAATATGTAGAACTTGGTCCGAATAGACCAACGATGCCCATTTGAAGCAGATCGCAAGTTACTTTGTACATCTGCAAAGTGTCGAATGGGGATATTTGGAATGTAATTGGTACTAACTTGAACTCTGACAGAGGATATTTGTTGTTTGCTCTGTAAGTGGCTATTTGGAAGGCTAGTTTTTGGGTTTCATCGCTGAAAATGCCACCTAAAATAAAAACGGAAGTAAAGTTTATTTTGTTAGGGGGTTCTGGAACTCACAAAGTAAACAATGTAGGATCAAGGTGTGTATGGTTAAAGAAATTTTTTTTGACGTATGTGTATTAATAATTAGAGGAACAGTGCTTTAAAGAAAGATATACCAAACACAAAAATGAAATAATATGTACAGAAAAATATCAACCCTTAATTCTATGTTTAACTGAAACTTGTGTAACTAGTGAGTTCGAGGATTCTGAATTATGGATTAATGGGTATAACTTAGCCCGATGTGATTCAAGTTCTAATATTTACCAAAACATTTTTAAAAGTGTCAAATATAAAAACTTTAATCATTGATATGAATCTTTGGTTGTTATCTATAGAAGTTAGAGTGAATGGAACTAGATATGGTGTAGCGGGTGTTTATAGGTCCCTCAACATTACCCTATTTTTTAAATCCTTTTCAGAACGGATTGATGAATGTGTAGAAACAGATAGCAGTTGTAGGATATTTGAACATTCATTTTGTCACGAAAAAAGAAAACTCCAAGAATATATTGAAAATAATGGTGATAAAACAACTAATTCCTGAATTTACTAGAGTACATAAGGATGCTAAATGAACAATTGACCTCGTGTTAACCAATGATTTCAACGAATCATCAATGACGAAGTTTAGAACAGTTATAAGCAATTTGTATGGAGTAGTTAAAACTCAAAAAAAGAAGTCTAGTACAGATGAGATAGGTATTGATATCATTAAGAATCTATTTCATGTACTTGGTTATCCATTACTTAATTTAGATAAGGGTATTGTTCCACAGAGATTTAAAACATTAACGATAGTTCCAATCCCAAAAATAGCTAACACGAACAAGGTAGATCAGTTGCGACCCATAAATATGTTTCCATTTTCTGAAAAACTTTTATTCGAAGACAAAGGGCTACATCGAAGGTTGAGATTATTGAGAAGTCTGTGCTACATGAAACTTGAAAACTTTGATAACATGGAAGACTATGTAAATCAAATAATGGGCCTCTCTCAGCAACTGATGTCAATTGGGAAACCTATAGATGATTAATTTCTTGGTGTGATAATGCTACAAGGTCTCACAGAAGAATATAAACCGATGGTCATGGCACTTGAAAATTCCGGTGTAGACATACCCTCAGATTTTGTAAAAACCAAATTTCTACAAGACAAAAAGTGGCAAAATGGAAGACATGGAGGTGAGTCAGCATTAGCTGTGAAATATAATAAGTTTACGAAATCTCCATGGTGTTGGGGGTAAGCGAAAAGGTCATTACAAAAATTAATATCCACAAGCACAAGACAAGAAAGATATGACACCAAATAAAAATAAAAACAAACAGAGTGATAACCGAAGTGGAAATAAAGCTTTGTTTGCCGCTGCATTAGGTGTAAATATGAAAAATAATGCTTGTGGCGCATGCGCTCACATAACAGGCAATAGTGATATTTTGATGGAATTGTCGAATAAAAATTCTGGACAAGAAATTTCTATAGCAAATCATAATAAACTGTTTGTTAGCGAAACTGGAAATAGAATTGCGAAGTTAAAACAAGATGGAATTGAAAGGAACATTGTTTCAGTAAATTAGATGGTGTCCAAAAGCTCCAGTGTATGTTTTGACACTGAAGGTTGTACAATAATTGAGCAAGAGAAGTGCTCTATTGAGGGAGAAATCATTGCTACAGCCATTAATGTTGATGGGTTATAAAAATTTGATACTTTGGGTTTTGCAGAAATTTATAAATTTGATTTATACCTTATTATTATTATTATTGTACCTTTCTACGTTTTATTTATATTTTTGCTAAAATCTGCGGTTTGAAAAGAGATATCCAAATGCAGTTTTTGCCAAAGTATTGGGCTTTTTTTTCTCTATCTAACTATGTAAAAAGGTATATATCGTTGTATTTAAATTTTTCGAAAAATTTCGTAAAATTTGTCAGTTTTTAACTTAACGCCCTCTAGCGGCGTTCATTAAACGTAAGCAGCCACAGTTTATAAAGCTTAAAATGAGGCTGAAAAAGCTCTTCTAAACGAAACCAAGTTCATTAAATTCGGTAAAGCCAAACCGGATTTATAAGTATTTTTCCAATTTAAAGTTTAACCTTGTCCCACCACTCTATTTCACAACTAACAAAAATTACACCTAAAGCTTTTTTGTTCAGAAAACATTGAATATTAAAATAGTAATATTTATCAGTATACTTTACTTGGTATTTTTTTGAGAAAATTACATTTTTATGTTTTGACGTCACAATTACGCCCTCTAGCGGCCACCCTAGAAACTTGAAAATAATTTCCAGCAATTTCTCTTGACCGTTTTTATTAAAAATATTTTTTCCCAAAGCTGTACTATTATTTGTTTCTGAAATATAGCTGGTTACCTCTTTTAATGGAACACCCGATACAAACAATGGATTTTATATTTAAAATAATAAACAATTTGTTGCCTGAATATTTTAACTGTCAACTAATCCCGGTCACAGAAATACATTAAAGAAACATAAGAGCAGCAAACTCTATCAAATTTTATGTACAAACAACTAATAAGAGTAGTTCTATGAAAAGCTTATTTCATAAAGGGATTATCTGCCTCAAAATTTTAAAAATGTTCAGAATCCTAGTCAATTTAAGAAAGAACTTATTATTTATGTTAAAAATAATTCATGAATTATATAGTTGAAATTTGTTCTTTTTCTCTTTTCTTTTACTTCTTTTACTTGTTATACTTTTAACCAGTCTGTTATGTTAAATACCTACATAACTGTTTCTTTTATTCTTTTGTTTTTCACTTTTTTTTTATTATATGTATGAGGGACAATTATGTTAAGTTTTAAGTTTTATGTTTATTTTGAATTATTATATGATATTATCTTTAATAAATAAAGATTATTAAAATTATTAAAGGATCGTTCATGTTGCAGGACCTTGCTCTGCTCGTTCCGCAAACACTCACTCGTTACATAAAATAAGGCATTTCGTAACTGGTTTCATAAATAGCTATTAAAGACTTTGATCTTAATTGTGCTTTTCTTATAATTGATCATTTTTTCAAAATTGTAAATTCGTCACAAAACACATGTTTTTCTATAATTTTCTCTTTGAAATTATTTTAAGGCGTGTTTAAAACATGTAATGGGGTTCAAATAATGGTTATTCCTACGGTGCATGCAGTTTTGAAAAAAATATACTTCAAGGGACCAGCTGACATACGTCCTTTAATTTTTTTTACATGTTTACCTGGCTGAGGATGGTTAAAAACAAATACCGGATGGTCAAACATAATTATTTGGTCATTTGCTTTCAAAACAAAATATTTTAAACTTCGGGGGCCAGTTTTACACAGCTAAATTTCACACATCAAGTATATGAAATAAAAATAAAATCAGGCTATTTGAAATAGAAAAGCAATAGTTTATAATATTTACACAGCACCAACTAGTTGTTTACCAATTGTTTTAAACATTTGTATCATATAAAATTAAATTAAATAGAAAAATATTTGCACCCACAAATCCACAAATAAATCTATCAACAGATTTTCATTTAATTACCTACTCACCGATGTTATACGTTTCTTTTTCAAAACCACGTGCATTACAAACGCACCAAAACACGAACATCAATATTAATATCATGTTTTTTGATTTTCAACGCATTTTTTCGCAATTTAAATTCGTAGATGTGCGTTATATTATTAGGTATCATTACCATCGACCGTTTGCAACAAATGGGCGCGACAAAACATAAATTCAATGAACTTGCTCGCGCTTTATTTTTAGAAAAACGTTTTTGGAATGGAAGTTCCTCACGCGAAACGCTTCCTCATCAAATTGTTGTTTTTCAATTTCATCAAGCTGCGTTCCCACGATAAACCATTCCCGAATATGATTCGGATAATCAATTATTTATTCTTTAAACATTTGTGTTCTCTAGGAAATTTCTTACAAAGTTAAAAATAAGAAGTCCTGAGATGAGATGCAGATAACATCAATAACACACAGAATTATAAAGAGTCATCCACAAAAAATGTTTTTAAAGTATGGCACGACTGACAAAGACAGAGTTACTAGTCATTTCGTTGATAACTACGCATCGAATATACAAGAATGTTTTTATGAAAAAAATTACACAAAAAATCAATTATTCCAGATTCCAGGTAGTATATATAAAGGATTATAAAAAGAAGTATGTTGTTGATCAATTAATGGCGAACAAAGGACATTCTGTTTTTAGATTACCGCCTTATTTTTTGTATATTGAAACTAATTGAATTAATTTGGGGGCAATTGGTGAATCTGAATGATATTGATGTATTGTTTTATATGAATAATTTTTTTCTATTTAATGTATTTTTATTAACCTCAAAATTTTATTGGAATAAAATAAATAGAGCCTTTTTTTAATGTTATATCACAAAGTAAAATAGTATATTAATGAATTAGGACAAACATAATAGTGTATTTATTATAAAAATTATATTCAATGCCTTGTTCTCAATGATCATGGGTAGTACTCCTCTTTCCATGCTCTGTAGTCACGTATTTTACAGTTTAAGTATTGTCAAAAGTATTTAGAAAGTTCCAAAATAACAATTGGTCGTGTCAGTCATTGCCACCTCTGCTTCCGTTCCGTCGTACTCAGATACACTCTTATGTCATTCTTTCTTTTCGTGCGCAAGTGGTTACCGTAAATAATTTGCTTTTAGTTATCTATGCTAAAATAAAAAATATTTAGCGGCTAGGTACCAAAAATATTTATCAAAAAAAGTAGCTCTCGTCTCGCCTGCCGCCTATCTACCTGCCATAATTGGACGCATAATTACACCTCTATCGGTAGCAAGTATGTTTTTTCTATCTGGTTTTCTATACCGTTCTCTGGATAGGTTTAAAAAGTTAATATATAAAAATACATAATAGTAAATGTTTATCAAAAAAAAAAAAATTAAAAAAGGGGAGTGAGAAGTGTTAGATAAACAGAGTAAAGTTAGTTACCTCTGATTTTTATGGCCTTTAACAGAAAAAAAATCGTCAGAAGGATCTACCTACTTAGCTTCTTCCTAGTAAATTCATCTTACGGACGATGCAACATATAACTTCCTGTAAAAAGAGTTTTAACAATTCTGAGAAGAGGACAAATTATTTAAAATCCTTAAAACATTATCGGCAAGATGGCAGAACTATTTATTATTGTGATGAGACCTATTTACATATAGTAGTCATACACATTCGAAAGGATGGACCGATGGCAAAGGCAAATTCAAAACTCCAATGAGCAAGGGGAAAAGGCTCATAATGTTGCATGCAAGGAGTAAGGATGGTTTTGTAGAAAATGGACTGTTGATATTTACTTCAGGTAATAATCTATTTTTTATAGAAAATTATTTATTATTTGCGTCTTTACCTACTTCATAAAAATCCATGATGCTTAACAATCGAAAATTATGATCAGCTTAAATTTAATTTAAACTGTTACAGTATCTAATTAACAAGTAATTTAAGTACTTAATGTATTGATTTATTTTATTATCTTCAGTTTAGTTAAAAGATCTTTACCTGTACTTAATCCTTTATTGTTATACAAGGGAAAGTTTTTAATAATAACTTTTTCATACATATATACAAAAATAATTATGAAAAATATACTTGTATTATAGATAATAAATTCTTTTTTTCAGGGAAAAAGACAGGAGATTATCATGATGAAATGAACTGGAATAATTTTTCCCAATGGGTTAGAAGGCAGTTACTACCAAATCTTCCTCCAAGGTCTGTACTGTACAAGTTATCATAATGTAAAATCTGAAAAATCGATTACAACACAGACCAAAAAAGCAGATTTAATTAACTGGTTCGTTAAAAACAATATACCACATGATGCTAAAATGACCAGAACTGTATACATTAATAAAAGTTCACAGACCTCCACCGAAATGTCTTTTAGACGATCTTCTCGAAGAACATGTACACAAAGTTCTACGATTACCTCCATATCATCCCGAATTAAATCCCATAGAAAAAATATGGGCCACAGTAAAAAATTGGGTGGGTCAACATAACACAACATTCAAGTTGGATAATGTTGAAAAGTTGGCAAGAGAAAAATTCCGAAGCATAATGCCGGAGGAATGGGCAAACGTGGTGGATCATTCCGCGAAAAATGAGGATGCATATATTTAAAGAGAACACCTTATGAATGAATTTACAGATTCCCTCATATTTAGTGTAAATACAGGGTCATCCGATGAGTGGGAATCCGATATTTCTGACTTTGAAGATGATGAAAATGTTTAAAATTATACAAATTAAATTAAAATATATTATTTATTTAAACTTTTAGTTGTTTTATTAATTTAAAGTTTATCAGCAATTTAAGTAACGAATAGTTAAAATTTAACATTAACTTATTAATATGTTCGATTTAAAATATTTTATTAATGTACATACGCCACTGCTAAGATATCAGGTAACCCTACACCGTAGCAGATTTCAGCCCAGCGCCATCAACTAAAGCTCCACAAAGTTATGACGTACTGCGCGAACTGTGGCATAGCTATGACGAAATGTGCTCTTCACAAAAAAATCGAGCTCTGCACGTAAATAATTTATTTTTAGTTATCTATAAAATATTTAACGGCTATATCTTCGTTCGACAGAATGCAATTCTAGTGTAATGTCTCTTTATATTCAATACGTACCGTTTTGAGTCCGCACATAAGAATCCCTGTCCAGACCTAGAATGACGTAAGAATGTATCTGAGTATGACGAAACGGGAAGGACGACTAATTGTTATTTTGTACATAAGAAGAGAAAATCAAAATATGTGTTATTTTGGAACTTTCTAGATCCTTTTGAAAGTAGACTTTAAAAAATACGTAGCCACAGAGCGGGGGAAGGGGGTACTATCTATGATCATCTCGAACAAGTAGATTCATATAATTGGGATCGAACTTTTTACTTCAGGTAAGTTCGTTTGATCGTTCAATAAATTCATATCATTTTTACTTCTTTAAATTCGATAAAAACAAAACTAACTGTGCAAATTAATGAAAAATTCACATTGGTCTGCTGTAGGATCCGAACATATGCGTCGACCGTTAGTAATTTAACACACGAACGCTCAACGCACTGAGCTATCGTGCCGATAATAAACGACTTATATAAATTTCAAGTTTAAAATAAGTATCTGAGTACGATTTTATATGATTTACAACGCTTCTTCGGAACCTTTTAACAATTTTGCCAAACTTACCTTTATCTTTTTCCGTGTACATTTTCCCACCGAATTCGTAATCAACTCCATGATTCAATATTAATAAAGTTAGATGCTAGGCTAGTGTCTCTCCACTTTGTCTACCGTCTGGGGCCGGTCCTGTATTATTACAAACCACACAATGCATCAAAATTTTAGAAATATATAAAAATATCCAATGTAGTGCCATCTATATTCCAGTACTATAAATAAAAACCATGAATGTTTGTCACAGAAATTCAATGATAGATCACTGTAATTATGGATTTTACTCATTATGGACGATGGCGATGACAAGTTAGGGTGGGTTCGGGATTTTGATCTAATCAAATTATAAAATCCAAAACATGTAAAATGGCTTCCGATAAATCTTTTGTTTTTTAAGTATATTTATAATAAAGTGCTAAGTGCTATGTTTTATGCCTAAAATTAAGTGTACTAAACAAATAATTTAGTTATAAAATGCGGCCACAATAAATATTAGTTCGCTAATATATCTTAATTAAACCCTTAATTTAAGGGCTTTTAATTAGAATCAATAACGAAACCATGATGTGTTCAACTTGAATATTAACTGTATCAAATTCTAAAGAAAACTATATGGAAATCGAGTAATAAAAGATAAAAGTGTAAAATTATTACCATAACCTCTTCTTTCACAATGTAAACAATAATATTTTCAGTTATTTTTTTTATAATGAGGCACCTAGAAAAGCAGCTACACATGGATTCAACAGAATTTCAACACAGTTCTCAACAGATTCATAACTTAAACGTGCTTCCTGATATTAAAATGGAATTCCCAATCGCTCTTCCCAATATTAAAATGGAATTCCCGAGGGAATTCCCAAAGTTTGTGCTTGATGATAATCTTATGAAACACAATTTTTTAAGGTAAGTAACAGTTCCTTTTTAAGCAAAATTTGGTCAATTATTTTTAAAAGATTTCTTGTTGTTTGTCAGTGTATCTAATTCTCATGGATATAAAACAAATTTATTGTCTAAAAGTATTAAGTTATAGTTATACTATCAAAAAAAGCAAAAAACAACATTTAGATATCCCATGACACAAGAAATAAAGAAATAACTGTATTAATGATAATTATTAATCTCCTTTTAATGTTAGTAATTGGCAGGATACATTTTAACCTCATGTTACGCGTTATCAACACCATTTTAATACACTGATACCTAACAATAAGTGGTTATATATTATCGAATAAATATCAAACTGCTGTGTTTTTAGATAGTCAAAACCTATTTGTGGAATATTATTAACAAAGAAATTGGTCAAAATAAAACAAATACAAAGTCAGAAAATTTAACTCCTGAAGATCTTAATAATTTTTTTATTAATAATGTGGAAAACAATTCAGAATCTAGAGAAACCAGATATACCTGCTACTTACTTCCTTTATAAATATACCATAATTAAAAAATTCAATGTTTTTTCAGCCAGTTACCCAAACTGATATAGAATCAATTGTAAAAGATTTAAAGAATAAAAGAACAGAGAATATTGATGGATTTAATGTATTTATAATGAAAAAATGTATTTCTAAACCTTTAACTATAATTATAAATGCTTGTCTAACTGAAGGAATATTTCCTGATAGCATGAAAATTGCTAAGGTCTGTTCTCTATTTAAAAAAAAGGAGCCTTGCAACTTCAGACAAATTGCTGTACTTCCCATATTCTCCAAAATCTTGGAAAAAATTATGTATAATCTAATATCATATTTAAATTCTTCCAACATACTCACGCCATTCCAGTATGACTTTAGAAGGGGGTGATCTACAATAGATGCAGTATTATCTCTAGTACAATATATAGAAAATTGTTTTGAACAAGTTGAAAACTGTTTAGGTGTATTTACAGATCTAAGCTCTACTTTTGACTGTGCGGATCATTCAATTCTATTATCAAAACTGGAGAGGTATGGAGTACAAGGAATTTGTTTACAGCTTTTTGAATCTTATTTAACTGACAGATGTCAAACGGTCATCATCAAAAATTGCAGAAGTTCATTGATGCATATCAGGAGAGGTGTCCCTTAGGGCTCAATTTTAGGTCCATTACTCTTTTTAATATACATTAATGATCTTCCTGACCATATGCATTTTGAAAACCTTATCACATGTATATTTGCTGATGATACTTCTCTTTGTATTAATACTAAAAGAGGAACAGATCATGATCAAGTTTACTCTGATATCATGATTCAGATAAAGAGGTGGTTTTCTGTAAACGACCTGTTTTTAAATGACACAAAAACTATCTCCCAATTATTTACAGTAAATAGTGAACAGGTTAATAACAATTCTGTTAAAGCACTTGGCATACAAATTGATCCACATCTCAGATGGACAGATCATATTGAAGCATTTTGTTCCAAATTATCACGAGCAATTTTTGCTATCAGGAAAATACGCCAAATATGTGGTCAAGATGCAGCAATTACTGCTTACTATGCTCTATTTCATAGTCATTTGACATACGGGACAATATGTTGGGGCAATGCTGCTGACACACAAGAGTCTTTATTTTTCAAAAATCAGCCATAAGAGCCATACCATGTGCTTCTTGGTAAGCCAGTTGTAGATCAGTATTCCCAGAACTTAAAATTATGACACTCTATGCAGTAATAATCTATCAAAACCTTCTATTCCTAAGAAATAATACTAACACATTTTTTTCACACTCAGATATCCATAACTATAATACAAGGCACAAAGATAACTTAGTCCCTATCCAGTATAGACTGGAAAGGACAAAGAAATATATTGAGCTATACAATATACTACCACTTAATTTTAGAAATCAGCCTATAGATAAACTTAAACATGCATTAAAACAAATGTTATCCAATAATTGCCTATATAGCTTAGAGAAATTTAAATCAATACAGATGGAGGATGGCCTCTGAGTGATTTTGTGAATTATGTTGTAAATGTTTGTAAATTTCAATTTTATATTTTTATATTATTATATTTAGGTAAATTTTATTATAATATATATTATTTAGTTTTAATTATAATTTGACGAGCCATAAAATGTAATATTTTCTCAGGTAAATAAAGATATTGTATTTACAAAATCAAAATCATCCCAAAAATTAAATTGATCAAGTCTTTGATGAAACATTCTAGTTCTTCTAAGGATTATATTTTGAAAATCTTTGATATTCTCTATAGTCTAATTAACAAGTTCAAAAGCGTGTTTTTGGGATATACTATTACGGAAATTATGTTCAATAGCTCATTCGATTTGGAATAACGTCTAGATCAATGTGTGAAGAAAAATTTTGCAGTGCATAAAAAATTGCAAAAGTTATAAACAATTAAACACCTCAAAAACATGGTGTTTGGTTTTTCGCCTATAGTTTGTAATCTATAAATATTTTTGGATTTTTCAAAAAAGATCCTTAAAGAGGAGGAAATTTGCTATAAATAAGTTCCAACTCCCGGAACTGTACCTCCATTATTTATAATTTTAATTTAACGCTCAAAGTAGCCTTCCGCGCGCCATTTTTAGGTTGCGCGCACGGCGTCGAAACCGAGTACGTTACATAAAATAATTTTTTTAAGTTATTAAAATTAAATTCAAAAATTTAAAAAAATTACGGTGTATTCTAAACACTTAGAAGAATTCATTCCCGTTGGAATTTTTCATAAAAATTAATTTTCCAACAAAGTAGGTTATTGTTAATTAACAAAATTTTAGGAATTTCTCTCATCATTACAAATTGATAAAAATATTAAATAATTACCGTAATTTTTTTTTTGCTCTTTTTATACAGGGTGGTCCATTTAACTTGAGACAGTGCAATATCTAAAAAACGGTAAGTTTTTCAAAAAAAGTTTAAATAAAAGTTGTTAGGCGTTACGGGGGAGATGTAATGATGAACATTTTTTTAAATTGACAACTTTTTGAAGGTTTTTCAAGGTTAACTCTCTTTTTCTAGATAGAAATATAGATTTTTTTATTTCAGAATCTTGTATGTAAAAAAGCAAATAAGTTTTGTTTAAAGAAATTTTTCATAGAATTGCATCTTCAGTAGATAAATAATAAAATAACATTTTTTTTTCAAAATTTTATAATAATCCAATGGTTTACTAAAAATGTTTTTCTTATTAAATGACACAATTATCATATCAAACAACAACAAAAAAAATGTGTTGAGGTTGATGGTCATCTTTTTGAGTATTTGTTACATTATTTTTTTTTGTTGTTTGATATAATTGTGTCATTTAATTTTTTGTAAGAAGAAAAACATTTTTACTAAACCATTTCATTATTATAAAATTTTGAAAAAAAAATGTTATTTTATTTTTTATCTATGAAAAATTTCTTTAAACAAAACTTATTTGCTTTTTTACATACAACAAGATTCTTAAATAAAAAATCTATATTTCCATTTAAAAAAAGAAAAAAAACCTTCAAAAAGTTGTCAATGTAAAAAAAACAATTCATCATTACACCTTCCCCGTAACGTCGAACAATTTTTATTTAAACTTTTTTTTTTGAAAAACTTACAGTTTTTGAGATATCGCGCTGTCTCAAGTTAAATGCACCACCCTGTATACATATAAAACAAAATAGCTTCATAAAAGTTTAAAAAATGTTAATACTTTGTTTATAATAATTTTTTAAAGTTTACAAAAACAGAAAAGTCACAGTGGTGCTATAAAACATTTTTTTTCAATTTATTATAATATTACTGTTTTAATATCGAGAAAAGACATTTATTAATTAAAAAAAAAAGCTATTTTGTTTTCGAGCTATATGCAAATTCAAAAAATATAAAACTTATTATATTATCCAAAAATTCTTAATAAAAGAAAGTCTACAAAGTAGTTTAAGGGATAATTTGGTTGGCTTAAAAATTATATACCTAGTTTACCCACTTAAGAAAATATTAATAATCTTAATTCCTAAACTGTTTTATGCTTTTATGATCTCTTAAAGAAGACTCAGAATTTACAATAAATTATTGATAGCACCTTTTTGATAGTTTTACAATCAGAACGTAATTTACTATAGTAAACATAATCGCCTTGTAATCCTGAACTTTTAAATTTTTTGTGAGCTTGTTTTTCAATATTTTCAACATACATTTAAAATAAAATAAAAATACATGTGTATACAGTCAATTTACATGTAAAATATTAACATAATGTCAACTTTACAAAACATAATAAAAGAAGAAGAGAAAAAACATCAAATGGTCAGCAAGTACTCATGCAGTTTTCTTTTAAATATTACTTCATTTGAAGAGCATTTAATATCTTCAAAAAAACTGAATTTTGTGTACATTTTTGCGTGGCCTCATTAACTCTGAAATTTTGCTTATTTCATGTATTGTGTTCAAGAACATTCTGATTATAACTTAAAATATTTTGTAAATATACTAGGGAGATTCCTAATTTAATCTTAAATATAAATAGCAGGGAATAGAACAGCAAATATTTTTTATCAGACACTGAAGCATATTCAACATTAAATTGAATGGTTCTAATCTCGAATAGTTCAGTATTATTTTCATATCTCTATTCTGTTACTTTTTCAATCGTTGCAACTCATTCTGTTTGAGCAAATACAGTATAGTCGCACAATAATTAAAAACCCAAAATTGCAGAATTTTCACTTTTAGGTTTCTTAAAAAACTTAAAAACCTTGGTGCCGAAAATTCCTATACCTGCCAAAAAACGTACAAAAAAATTATGGTGGGTCCAACATATGATTTTCCTGTTTATCTAAAGTTATAGGCTTTTACCAGTTATTCTGTACAATCTATTCTATTTAAATTAAAATATATAATTATTTTACCTACAGTCACAATAAGAATACCCGAAAATCAGGTAAAATCCTAGCTTTGGCAACACTGGTGATAACTGATGACCTTCCTTAACTTATGATTTATGATGTAGTAAAAATAATAAAGTTTTTATGACCTCCTTATTTAGATCTTATTTGATTTTATTTTATATTACTCCATTTCAAGCTGTACACTGCAATATGGTAATTTTTTATAGAAAATAAATATTTGATGAATTCAAAATTTTGTTCACTTTTCGTGTTATCAGTTTTTTCTGCTTTTTTGTTTTTTTTTTTTCTATTTTTTTTTGGTTTTTTGTTTGGTGTTTTTTTTTTCGCCAATTACGGACTAGAAATGTATACCATTAATATTTCAATGTTGGCACATGATAAAAAATACAGTATCTTAATTGATTTTGACTAGTTTTACCAATTACTAAATTTTTATCGTGTATTTGGATTGTTTAGTAAAAACATACTAATTTTTATTAAATTTATGACTCAACTGATTTGATTAAAATCCGTTTCAATTAAATTATATATAAAAAATATATTGACAAAATTATTTATTTGTTTTGAACTGACAATAATTTTGATGAGATAATTTCCGTGAATCTCTAAAGAAGAAAAAAATGTTTTCACTTATTTTCTAGCGACGAGGACAGTTCTAACGAACCACACTTGACTTTCGATCTAAACAATGACAGCGACAACTCGGAAGAATTGGACTCGATGAGTAAAACTGTCAGAAAAAACAGAAGAAAAGCTTCAGCCCCTCAAAGGGCCGTACAGATCGAGAGCAGTCAGTCGGGATCGATGGAGAACAGTTCAGAATCGTCTCAGGATAATACAGATAGTTTGACTTTCACAAATATACAAAACTTGAGCTTGAAGTTGAAGGAAGAGTCTTTATTGGATTTCGTCGAGGCTGATGATCTCTGCTGTGAAGATTTGCTTCAGAATATTACCGAGGATGATATTTTTAAGGATCTACAGGATGAAGCAGGTATGAATTCTATTTGTATGCAACAAGTTTGTTTTTATTCGTTGTTAACTATATTTAAGATGGAGAAACCATCGACGATGAAATGATAGTCAATGTAAAAGAAGAATGGAGAGCCCATTGGGGCGTCAAGTGCAATATGTGCGAACAGGTGTTCCCGTTTAAAACCGAGTTCGATAAGCATTACATTTCGAGCTACAAATCAATTCCGGTGTATACATGCACTTTTTGTAACAAATCCGCTGAAAAATATTCCACATTTCGGTCGCATTGTTACCGACATATCACCGAAGGCCGCTACAAGTAAGACATCTTTTATTTAATTTCCATAGACTTTTGCTAATAGATACTCTTATTTTAGATGTCAGTATTGTCCGAAAGGTTTTAGCCTGCAGAGCATGCTGCACGTTCACATTTTAGCCAAGCACACCAAAGTCAAACCGTACAATTGCGAAGAGTGCGGTAAGAGTTTCGTAACGAAACCGGGTTTAAAGATCCACATGAAGAAGCACAAGACTGAAACGAAGGAGGATTATCCGTGTGTCGAGTGCGGCAAAGTGTAAGTCACGTACAAATTTTTATTGTAATTAAAAATGTAGAATAAAAACAATTATCCGGCTCGAAGGACCATTTTGTTACGTTTGTATTTTTCGGAAGGCTAATAATTTACAGTTCATCAAATTTCTAGAGGTGTTCGACGCCCAGACAGAGAACGCGCTACGTGTGACTAAGATAGCTATTGTACAGTCTGCTAAACAAGTTATTTTAAATAGTTTTTAATATATTTAGGTAATTAAATTTTAAAAGTGTGGAATAGTTTAGGGATTAAATTGGTCTGATTGGACTTTCTTAGAACGTTTTTAAAAGCAGCTAAAGATAGTATGTAGAATTGAAAATAATTATTATGCCATAAAAGGTGTTTTGGAATTCCTTCAACCTTTTGAAATTGAGTCAGAAAATATAAATTTTATAGGATAGCGGAAAATACCTATAATTTTTTTGTAGGCCTTTGTAAATCGTGGAAATAGTTTATATTTTATTTCTACTTTATTAAGGAAAATGGTACCTATTATTAATAACGGTTGTTTCTGAAACATTACTAAAATTTTCGAAATTTTGTTTTTCTACAAAATAAACTATACTATTTAGAAAAAAATTTATTTCTCTTATAATTTTATAAAAAAATAACAGGGGAATATTTACATTTCTTGATCTATTAAACAAAACGATAAATTATCTCGACGAATGACACCATGTTCTAGTACGGAAGCTAGCTTTACATTTTTGTTGGTGGTTTCATGGGTTTCATATCAATTTTTTTAATTGTAGTTTACACGTACATATACCTCTTAACACTTGTTTGCTTTATTAAAAAAGTGTGTTGTTGTGATTTACGTCGAAATAAGTCAAAAACAACTTGAAACCCCATATAAAATCAAAAAGGAGAAACGGAAAAAAATTGAGCCTGTAAATGAACACAACTCAGAAACAAAAATAGCTATCTAATAATAAAAAAATAAAATTGATTCTTGTGCAGCTTCATCTATATCATTAACTGTTTTTGGTTTTTTGATGGTTTTTCTTGGTGATGAAAATTCCGATATCTCACGGTTATCGATTCTTTTTTTCTCTCCAGAAATGCGGACGACAGTGTTTTTAGATACTCCTGTGGCTGCAGCAACACGATCGTTTATATTTTTAAATGGTATTGAAGGTGAATTAAAGTTTCCTTCTCTTCTCATAAACTCTATAACATTGGCTATTATTTCGCGAGATTGACTGTTAATCACGCGGCCTCTTAATTTGCTATTAAACTCCATACTTAGGTTCAATTAAACTGTAATGAGCAAAAAACACAAACGAAAATAAAAGAAATGTTTTAGCGAAATTTACATCTGACATTTACGTCTGAATGAAATAGTGAAATACTTGATGCGCAGAGTGTACTTTCATTGCGTAAATCCGTCGGGATGCCTGTCAGTAGTGCTTTCTCTGTCTAGCCGTCGAAAGCCTCTAGAAATTTGATGAACTGTATAGTATTAAATTATTGATAGCTTTTCTATCTTACTTTAACTTGTAGTTCAGTATCTTGTCGTTTTATCTTAGGTGTTCTTTGACTTTCTGTGAGAATACACAATGAAAAATCAACCACGTTTTAATAGCAACCATTCTTTTCTCAGGTCTACAAAAATGTATCACTTGAGATTAATTATTTATTGTACAAGTATTTAGCAGTATTTTACTACAAAGATTTACTAACTGGTTAGGAAAATATAACATTCTAACACATTGTTAGTCTGTCTTTTATAATCCCAAGGTATCTACAGATTTAAATTTAAATATACAATTCTTTTATTGACTATAAAACAGCTCGTGACTGTAGCGACTATACTACATATCTACGTATACCGCGTCATATGTGTTACACATACGATTTTCAAATTTGAAGCAACCCTCATTATGAGGCTGTGCTGGTAATGACCGATTATGACTCAAAGGGGAGTTTATGTTCAGCATTAAGAGTCGCTGTTAATTAAACTTAGTTTTCCGTATCTTGTTTCCAATCCAAGATTCATTAAATTCTTCTTTCAAGTTACTCTTTATTTAACTCAGTTTTTCTTACTTTACTTCCAGCCCAAGACGGATCTTTTATGTTTCAGTTCATTCAATTCCAAGTTTCATTCATCTCTTTTTGTCCAACTCAATATTTGACGTATCAATTTCCTTGTACGATTGTCAGGGAATAAACTAGCTTCTAAGCTCCCCAAACGTTCTGCCCAATGTCACTCTAAATTAGTAAAAGTTGAAATGTGACAGTGGCCCCACGTTGGGCGTCAAAAATAAATAACTTACTTTCTAAACCTAAGTGCTCCAAGGTTGGATTAAAGGTTAAACTCACAACTTGTCATGCTACCATTTAATTATATTTTACATCTCCAATTATTTATTTATAAACTAAAATAAGATCCTGCAATGACCAATACGTTTATTATTGGTATCAATTTTAGACTGCACACTAGAGGTGGATTAACGTCTCATATGAACGTTCATCGACTGGGAAGAAGATTCATGTGCGACGTTTGCGGCAAAACCTTCACCCAGAAGGTGAATATGCAGCAGCACGTCAAACAGCACACCGGAGATAAACCTCATTGTTGTAATAAATGTGGGAAAACGTAAGCACTAGTGGTTATATTTATCTTATTACATCCTCTTTGTCTAAGCCCAGCAAGTTGACGTTTTGAATATCATTTTTGAATTGTAGATTCGCCGAAAAGTCGCACTTGGTCAGACACTACAGCTTTCATAGTGAGATACGACCGTTCAAGTGTGACGTATGCCAAAAAATGTATAAGACTGAACGATGTTTGAAAGTCCATAGTCTGGTCCACGCGCCAGCCAGACCCTTCGTCTGCGGTCATTGCAGCAAGGGATTTTTGAGCAGCACAAAATTAAAAGTAAGCATCTGGTTTATACATGTTCGAATTTTTTTGGACGTTTTTAATTTTAGCAACATTATAACATTCACACCGGAGAACGACCGTACAAATGTAAATACTGCGAACGCACCTTCACCAACTACCCGAATTGGTTGAAACACACGCGACGACGACACAAAGTGGACCACAAAACGGGCGCCGAACTGCCATCCAAAGAGGGCGTGATCAAGGAAGAAGCGCCGCCTACTCCGATGACAACGCCTACGGCTCACGTGATACCGACGGTGTCCGAGACGCCGGTGGAGATGGGCGTGACCGATACGCCGACCGTTATGACTTCCACGACGACTGTACTGTCTACAGCGCCGCAGGTAAGGTACTAAGTTAGTCATGTCGCGTGTTATGCGACCAACAAATTTTGAAAATGCATTTATTATAAATTTTTATTACGTTTTTATTACGTTTTTATTACGTTTTTATTACGTTTTTATTACGTTTTTATTACGTTTTTAATACGTTTTAACACGTTTTTAATAAATTTTTAATATGTTTTTAATATGTTTTAATACATTTTTAATACATTTTTAATACATTTTTAATACATTTTTAATACATTTTTAATACATTTTTAATACATTTTTAATACATTTTTAATACATTTTTAATACATTTTTAATACATTTTTAATACATTTCTAATACATTTTTAATACATTTTTAATACATTTTTAATACATTTTTAATACATTTTTAATACATTTTTAATACATTTTTAATACATTTTTAATACATTTTTAATACATTTTTAATACATTTTTAATACATTTTTAATACATTTTTAATACATTTTTAATACATTTTTAATACATTTTTAATACATTTTTAATACATTTTTAATACATTTTTAATACATTTTAATACATTTTTCATATATTTTCATTACATTTTTAGTAAATTTTAATTTTTTTTACATTACATTTTTAGTTCATTTTTAATACATTTTGAATTCATTTTCTCAAATTTTTAATACATTTTCAATACATTACTAATATACTTTCAATGCACTTAATATATTTTTATTACATGTATTTAATTTCTATTTATTATGAATAAGTCTTAAAATTACAAGTGAAGTGTTGTAGTATATTTTTTCTACGTCTTATGCATAATGTAACTTCCGTTTTAGATTCCGCCTCCAGACACCGTCCCGGATATCGGACCCGTACTGTCGGACGTCAATTTCAGCAGGGCCGAAGAATTGTTGTTGCAACAAGGTCTGTTCAATTTCCCTTTGTTAGACGACAAAGTTTTGTTTGGTCAACCGATGGATTTTCTCACCAGTAAGTATTTATCTTATTAATATTTTGTTTTAGAAAGCTAATATTAATGAATCAAAGTATTTTTAGGTGTTGTATTGTATTATAGAACCTTAATATACCTTAATGTGTTGTTTTTATGTATAATTTTAGTCCTTTCACACATATTTCTATCCTTTATCTTTACTTCCTGTCCATTTAGTCCACATTCCTTGAAGATTTCCACTGCTGCATTATCCCAGGTTCTTTCGTCTTCCCTTTTAGTTGTTTTTACTTGTTTTTAGGCAATAAAAGTTTTTTCTTTGTAATTTCAGCGAATTCTAACAATTCCGTAGGCCTATTGGTGCCGTACTTCCCCTCTTTGCCAAATCACCAGACAATATTACAGCACACGAGTCAGACGATATTGCCCGTCCAGTTGAACGATCCGAGTATTTATCAATAACTCGGTTTTGTTAACGATTTGTACAACTTGTTTTCATTTTGATTCAATTTGTTTTTAATTTACAACAACACAGTATTAAAATAGCCGACTGGAAAAAATTGGAAGGAGCGGATTATTTTATGCTGATCGGTTTTTTATTTGCTACATTTTGGATTTGGGTACGAACAATGGCAACCCTAGTTATTCTTAAAGCTGACAGCTTCTTCTTTAATAATAACTAGGGTTGCCTTTGTACTAACTCCAAAACTGTAGCATTGAAGTTTGTTACTATTTTGACGCAAAAATGGTTTAAAACAATCTGTCTCTGATTTTTTCGGTTGGGTCTTAGATTAACAGTTTGGTTAGCTTCAGACGATGCTGCAGATTCTCTTTGTAGGTTTCAAACTTCTGTTGCTCTAAGTTAGGCGTGTTTTACGTTATGAAACTTTTCACCGGTAGCGAAACCTTCAATTAGAGTCTGTATTAAGACATGTAGATTCAGGTTGTAAGAGATGTATACAGGGTGATTAAAATATTTTATTTTGGGTGTTCGATCAAACGTAATATTTGGTAAAATAGGTCGTAATTCGAATCGGGTTTACTACCGTGAAATATTTCACAAATTCAAGACAAATTTTTTGGCGGAAACGCTTATAAATATTTATTTTTTACTTCAAAATCCATCGATATATAAAGCAATAAATCATACCGATGTCGTGAAAGTTTATAGTGTCACCCTGTGTCTTCTTATTTGAATTTCTTCAGCGGCAACTCGGTAAATTGATTTTTGAATTTGTTATATTGTATTTTTGTAATAACGGCCAGACCAATCAGAAAAAAAAAGTCAATTGATGTTTTTTATATATTGAATATATTGTGATTTGTTTTTCTTTTATGTATATAGGTACTATATTATATTATATATATTTGTATCGTCGGTACGTCAGTGCATAACGTTTTTAAATAAACATTCCTTTTATCTGCCAATGGATGTTTTATTATTTCATTCCTTATTTCCAAAGTTTTACGCAAACAATATTTTTTGGATATAAAAAAAAATTTAAAAAATCGGCTACCAGTGGGGATCGAACCTACGGCTCTTTGTATACCACACCAATGTCATAACCGCTAGACCATAGGAGCTTACGTACCATACAATATGTGCGTTTAAAATTATAATTCTTTCAAATGCTAATAGACGCAATGAAAATAGTTTCAAAACATTCTACAGCGGCCCAACTAAAAAGTCAACTAGGGTTTCCCATCTCGTTAAAAATAATAGATTCTTGGTAGCGATTCAAATGGTAGAGTCAAAGATCGATACAAGAAAAATCGGGAGAGAAAAACATCGATCTCATGAAAATTGTACAGCGTAGAAGGTTTACGAACAATTTTTTTATTTTTCTAATTTGGAATATTTGCAAAGTTTTATAGATTTTATCTACTGTTTATTCATCGTCTAAGCCGGTACACGTAGATTTATAAACAGCAAATATTGCTGCCTGACTTCGAGGATGAAACTTCTTAAAATGTTTCCATACCTATAAAAATCGTAATTCAACTATACCTCTTGAACGAAAAAAGCAGCGACACTTTGAGGGGTATCCGACTGGCTGTCATCCAGAGACGGCATCCACATATATGGAAAGGCTCTACGCTGCCCCTTCAGGCAGTGGAGGAGCACCACAGTTTCATAAAACATCGTTTAGCGCAGGGGTCATTTGGATGACCTGCGCTAACCAGCAGACCGCGGACTGGTTAAGGAGGATGGTCAGCACTCTGGGAAACCTTTGGGAGGGCGCGGATTTGACCGTGGTTGAATCTAAGAACCTCCCGAGAAGATCCAGGGTTCTGGTTTTCATGCCGGACGAGTCCGAGGTTGAAAAAGTCAGGGACTTCTTCAGCTCCAGAATACGGAACTGAAGACGCCGGACTGGCTTTTAATGAGCAGGAAAATTGAAAAGAGAGGGTAATTCCTAGCCTTTTCAATTGACGAAGCGTAGTACAGGATCCTCGAGAGGTCACAATTCCGGGCCTATTATAAACTAGGAAGGGTGACCTTCAGGATCCTAAGGCGACATGGCGAGGATCAGTATAATACAGATCAACCTTCAGCACTGTAAGGCTGCTTCGGCTGTACTTACAGTGGCGATGGGGAGGTTTGAAGTGGCCCTAGTACAAGAACCGTGGATTAGACACGGTACAATAAGAGGTTTAGGAGGGTTGGATGGAGAGTTAATATATGACAGATCCACAGACACCCCTCGAACCTGCATAATTGTCAAAAAAGGCATAAAAATACTGCCGTTAACTAATTTCTGTTCCAGAGATTTGACAGCAGTCAGAATCAAGATCGATGCAGGAGATGGACTCTGATCGGCATATCTACCTTCAGACAATCCTGAAGCAACACCTACCAGAGAAGTGGAAGAGCTGGTGAAATTCTGCAGGCGCAACGGAATGCAGATGATCATTGGCTGTGATGCAAACGCACACCACAAGATCTGGGGGAGCACCGATATCAACAAAAGAGGTAAGTCTTTACTACAATTTATTATGGCAAATAATTTAGACATAACAAATGTAGGCAATAAACCGACCTTTATAACAAAAAAACAGAAAGGAAGTACTAGATGTAACAATAGCATCAACATACTTGAGTAATTTTGCTGGCATGTGTCTGACGAAGAGAGTTTATCAGATAAACTTCAATATTAAAGGTAATATTGCAAAATAAACTTATCGTAATCCCAGGAAAACAGACTGGGAGGCATATAATGCTTCTTCTCTGGAATGTAATCTTCCGAATATGAGAAAGACGATAAGAACAACAAACCTACCTAGAAATGGCTGTGGATGAGTTTAATGACACAGTCACTAGCGCTTTCAACGATACCTGTCCCTTAATAGCAAGGAATTCTATCAGGAAAGTTCCATGGTGAAATGATGACCTTGCTATACTAAGGAAACAGGTGAGACAAAAATTTAATAAGGCTAAAATAACCGGCGAATGGGAATGTTACAACACAGCCTTACGAAAAGTCAAAAGAGAGTCTTGGAGAAGGAACTGTGAGAAGATGGCAAGCACTCAAGAATGTGCCAGGCTCCAAAGAATTCTCTCAAAAGACACACAACACACAATAAACACCCTTAAGAATGAACTGGGGGAGTACACAATCACAGGGAAGGAAACAGTAAGGGAACTCTTGTAACGTGATCTTTAGTTATTCTATCTACTTGTATAATATGTTTGAGCTCAATTGATTGGGCGTGGGTTAGGTTATTAAATAACTCGAATAACTTTGAAAAAGAAGTTGGGCACCACTATATTTAAAGCTTACTTAGATTAGTGATAAAAATATAGAAAATCACTAACCACTAACAAATTATATTTAAACCATGCTTTAGATAAGGTAGTAGCAAATTCTAATCAACATAGTTTTACTAAATTCAAATTCAAGATGATTTATTCAATATCACTTATCCTTTGTTAAAAGGAGGTAATATAAGGAATGTTTTATCGCATGGTCTATCTTCAGGCAACTTTCTCAAAGGGATTCGGGATTCTTATTCGTAATTCTGCAACGTGAATGATTTCGTGATATTTGGTATTCTAACTTAAACTCGAAACTGTCTAGATCTTCTAGAGATGAATCAAACCACGGTCTTCAGATTGTACCAAAACCAAAACAAACTTCTAGGTATAAAAACCATAAAACATCTTGAAAGGAATTCAAAAACTTCTTGAGAGGAATTCAAAACTGTCTAGATATAGCCATGCTAAAAAAGATTTAAAATGTTAAGACAGGAAATAGGAAATTTGAACAGAATTTAGATAAAATGCTTTAACTATTAAATGAACAATTTAAAACTATTAGATGAATAATTTTACAGAGACTAAAATTAATATGAAAAGGAAAAATCTTATTTAATACATTTAAACATAGTAAAGCATAATATCTTATTCCAAAAAAATAATATATAATAATGAGTGTTACCCATTGTTGATAGGATTTTAGGTTATGTTCGGAACTTGACAATTTAATTAAGAAATACTTGCATAAAATATATATATTTAATAATATATTAGTATTAAAACTTACCTTATAAAATCAGACGGATTTTACGATAGATTAAAATCATTTAGTACATCGGATGACCAAGATATTAAAATGAATGTGTTCTATTTGATATATTCAAATCAAATGAAATACGAACTTTTGACACAAGGCATAAAAGACAAATGACATTTGAGTAGAGGTGATTGTGTTGAAATAACGAATAACGGTTCCAACCGTTACAAGTTTCAGATAGGTTTTCTTCGAATTCACTTTTATTTTTGCCCAACGCCTATCATCCAATTAAATAAGAGACATATAGCCAAGTGACCTAAGTTTGTATAAAATTGGTTTCATTATTTTTGTCAAAATATATGCAGCTATATTCAGACCAAAAGGAAGCACATTAAATTCGTATACATTATCCTGAAATACGAATCTAAGATATTTTTTATAAGCTTGATCGACGGGGACTGAAAAATATGCTTCTTTCAAATCAATTTTGAGATATTAACCTGCTGGCTGATCTACAATCTTCTAGCTTAAAATCTTAGATTAAAGAGACCGAAGATGTAACATTGCACACTGCGCATGTTGTCTATTTTAAGCCAAAGTAACCCACCAATTGAAAATCATTGTTGCACGACGCCACCCGAATTGCTCCGATTTCCATTCAGCGATCACCTCCACCTGAGTTTAATCACCATTGACAGCTGTTTTTTGATTTATTTGTTGGTATTTTAGCAATTTAAAGTGTTCTAGTTATTCAATTTCAAGTTCAAAATGTCACGATGTATCTTGAAAAATTGTATGTACTTATAATACAAGTACTACTGTTATGAATATATTCGTTTTCAGCGGTAAATATTTATTAACGTTTTGACATAAAGCGCCATGATTCTCTGGGCTGAATACTTCAGATCCGCATCAAGGGGTTTCAATAAATATTAAGCATCAGAAATCAGATTTCATATTACTTACATAAATTTACAAAAGGGTAAAATTTTGAACATTTAATTTAAATAAATAGTAAATAGGCATTATTGCTAACGAAATTTTGTATTTAAAAAGTAGTTTTATAAAAATGTTTTCTAAAGGTAGTTTTTAGCCCTTTTTGGTAGATAAATAAGAGGTAAAGAATCATAGTTGCTAGCTAAATTTTATTTTTATAAGGTATTTTTATAAGAATATTAGATGAAATACAGGATGACCTACTTAAAATTTCAAGGTTCATCTTATTTGCGGTCAAATCGAAAGTGACATTCAATTTTCAGTCTTAAAACAAAGTAATCTAGTATAAGCAAAAAAAAATACTAAAGTTACAGGAGTTAGGTCCGATTCCACCGTTGTGTTAAACGGAGATTAAAATGACAGTGTTAATGTAAAAATGTCATTTTAAACTTTGTTTAACACAACGGTGGAATCAACCCTTAGTCACGTTAATAAAATGTTACATTACAAACCCCTAAACAACTCGAACATAATTTTCGTTTACTAAAAAAAATCCAAAATTTAGCAATATTTATTTATTATACAAGCGAATGCGATTTCAAAGATAACTGGATCAAAAAATCCGAATCTCTAAATTTTGGAGCTAAATGCTCAGATAAAAGCAAGCGACCGATAGGGGTTACAAAAATAATCGATTTATCGATAATTCTGATATTTTTTAATGAAAATCGATTTATCCGCTGTTTTTAATAAATTATTTTCGTTTTTTTTTAAGATAATGTATTAATCGATTTTAAAGGAAATACAGAAAAAGTAGATTTATTCAAAATTATCGATTTATCGTTTAATCGGTTTTTTAATTAATTGATTATTTTCGATTTTTCAAAGATATTATATGAAAATAATCGATTGAATATAATCGGTTATTTTACATAATCGATATTTTGGTTATTTTTTAAAATTATCGATTTATTGG